GATTGGTGAGATTTCAAGCCCAGCCCAGAGATTGGTGGGTTTTCGGGCTCAGGGATTGGTGGGGTTTGGTGGGTTTTCAAACCCGGAAGTAGACTTGGACCTTCTACCCTACAATGTGGACCTAGCAGAGAACCTGGACCTAAATAAGTCCGCAGCTCCACAAGGTGGGGGCCATGCCCCTGCCACCTCTGCTAGGCATGGTCAGGAACCACCCCAGGATCTGTGCTGCCATTGTCCTAGCTTTCTAGAATTTTGTCAACAGAATTTGGTTCATAATTTCTCCACTTACAAACACCAGCCAGCAGAAATAGGAACTTACTCAGAGCTAGCAATCTGAAAGACAGTGGATTAACATCTAGAGATCTGCTCTGCATCACATTGCCAGCTGGCGGATTATATCTAAGGAGGGGGAGGGAACAAAGGCTGTCAATCATCATGGGGCTCAGGCTTGCTCCGGTCTGGTGGTCAGTCCCGTTTCTGAGAGTTGTGATATCTATGCTTCTCTGGTCACCAGCCCTCTTCCTTCCCCACCTCTGCAGATGCTCTCTGTGCCCTAGCAGGTTCATTGGCCAGAGTCCACACTTGCTGCAAAAGTGAGCTGGTTTAATGAGCTTATGTATCCCTGACTTATTTAGGGAGGGTGGGGGAAGGGTGAGCAGTGAGTGGTTTCCACATCAACTCTGCACCTGGTTGCCGGGCCCCAAGCCAGAGGAGCATACATGAGCCGTGAAGTTGCCACCAATAAACCCCTGGATGCTTCCAGCACCTGCCTTTCTGCCTCAGCCTCCCCCACACCACCTGCCAGCTGCAAAATCAATGCTGACAAGAGAGACCCAGGCACAGGGCCAGGACCACAGTCCTAGAGTGTGTGCACAGGACAGCTTCCGGGCAGGAGGAGGGGAGACGAGGAGGATAAAGCTGGACTCATCCTTAAGGCACCTTGCCAAACAGTACCCTACATAAGCCAGGACCTTTTTCGGTAAAAGTAAAAGAAACCACACAAGCAAACAGGTGATTCTGCTAGTTTCCTGGGACTGCTGTAACACTTACCAGTCTTGGTAGTTTTTTTTAGAGAGTTTGTTCTCACCATTTTGGCAGAGTTGTACCCCTCTGGAAGCTCCGGAGATCCAGGCTCTGCTTCCTTTAAGTTACAGTGACTCTGGGCATCACATCCCTCACCTAAGGCTGCGTCCCTCCAAGGTCTGCCTGTCCCTGAACTACCTCCCTCTGCACTGGTTTTATAAAGGAGGCAAAAGATTGTGTTTAGCGCCTGCTGGGTGACCCTCCTCAAGATCTATAGGAAACCACACCTTTACTTTGTAAACGGGCTCTTTGGCTCTAGTGTGGGATACATTTGCAGGTGCTTGGCCTTAGGACAGGGACCACCAGCAGCTGTGGAATTTCACTATTTTCATTTAATCTTCCTACTAGTTTGGAAGGCTTATGTCTACATATTCTATCCAGAACTGTATTTTTATTTAGAATTATTCCCAGTTCAGTTGGAGGAGGGCGGGCATCGAGACAGGGTTTCTCTGTGTAGCTCTGGCTGTCTTCTGTAAACGAGGTTGGCCTCAAACTCAGAAATCTGCCTGCCTCTGCCTCCCCAGTGCTAAGATTAAAGGCACGCACTACCTCCACCTAGCCTCATTCCCACTTTTTAAAAATGCCTACAGATGTCTCAGTGGCTAAGAGCATTGCAGAGGACCTGGGTTCAGTTCCCAGCACCCACATCAAGTGTCTCACCGCCTCTTGGAACTGCAGTTCCAGGTAATCTAATGCCCTCTCCTGGTCTCCATGGGCACCTGCATGCACGTGGTGCACATATGTATACTCAGGCACACACGTAAAATAAAGACTTGATGTCTACGCTCTATTCTAAAAAGTCACACAAGCAATGGAGTTGAGCACACTCACACAAGGAAGTCATTTTAACAGGCATCCCATTCTGTGCCGGAGCCACCTTGTGGTTGTAGGAAGCAGGGCAGTGGTGCTTTCATGATTCCCTGGCCCCAGCACAGCCTGCCTACCCCACCCACACTGTGTAGGTGTCCCCTTCCATGCAGGTGGGGAAGGATAGTCTCTTCTTTTTATGAAATGAGCAGAGTTTGGACACAGTTTCACTCTTGCCCGACTCCTCCTTTGGGAAACCACCCCTCTTATATCAGGTGACCTGCTGGCTGTGACTTTCCTCAGGAAAAGGCCCATGACCACACTGGACCATCATTCATGGATGCTGGGAAGGAACCATGTCTTTTCTCTGCTGCGATGCTAAGACAGCATGAAGCTCAAAGATGCAGGCAGCCAGACCTACCCCTCAGAGGGCCTGTCCTTGATATTGAGCGGCCATGTGAAGACTAGCGATCTCGAGATTCTTTGAACGCTGGAGACGGATGTGTCTGAAACCCAGTTTGCTCAGGCACTGGCTCAACCAGGTTTGACCTGTCTACAGGTCAGGAGAGGCCTGCCGAAAGCCAGGAGCAAACACCAGCTTTGAGTGTGCAAAGGAGTTGCAACACCTGCACTCAGTCTCGGTTGGTAGCTGCTGTTCCAGAAACAGGTACATTATTCTCAGGTATTCAGACTCAAGAGTAGTTCTGGGGGGCATCCGAGGCCACACAGGTCTCCCCGTTTCCAGGACAGATGACAGAAAAACAAGGTTGGTCTCAGTGCACATGGGTTTATTGAGCTGCTGTGCTAGGGAAACCACAGGGGGCGAGGCTGTGCAGCCAGTGGATGCCAAGTGGGAGGGGCCTGAGTCTCCCCCTTTAATGCCCACACAGCAGCTTGTCATATGCCATTGCTAGTCCTGGGGCACGGGTAGGGCTTAGCAGTGAGTAATGACTGCCTGGGAGGGTATTTAGGTTGCAGTGCTAACTGGAAGGAGTCTTGCCTGTCGGTCTGTCCATGTGATCTCCTTAGTGCCTTGTCTGCTCGGAAGAGGACAGTTCCAAATTCTAGGAGCAGGGGTAGTCTCTGCCTTGCTCTCTAAGCACTGGGGGTCCAGTGAGGCCTCATCTACAGGTGACCATCTCAAAACAGCCAAGACACCTACTGACAGGAACCAGAGGCTTTTCAGTCGGACACTAGCCTCCAGCCCTCAACCCAGGGGACAGGCACACAGGTGTATGAGACCTGACGACAAGGAAGTGTCATTCCAGTGAGCAGTAGGAGACATGGCGGTCAGCTGTGTTGTCCATGGTTCGCCATCCTAATCAGAGCAGGGCCTGGAGAGCCAAGGCAGTGAGTATGGACAGCAAGGACACCTAGGGGTGAGGACAAAATGGGGGCTGCTTCTGCCTCCGTCTCTTCTCAAGCCACTCATGTCCCCACCTTGACTGGTAAGGATAGGCAGAAGGGAATAGGTGCAGAAACTGCCAACTCCCCATCCTCTCCCCACACCCACCTGTGGGAAATGATGCCCAGTGTTCTGGTAGGGGTTCAGCCAGTCCTGCAGAATCGAGGGCCACAAGGTGTTAAAGGCTTGCATGGCACCATCTATGGAGCGGAGACATCCAGGGAAGGCTTGGCCAGGGAGCCTTAGAAAAGTGTCCTGTCCCCCCACCCCCGGGGCAAACTGAGATTACAGTATGGCTGTGCTAAGCGTGACCCACACACTGCTAGTCTTCATCCTCACAGGAGAGGTTGACAAATGCCACCCCCACTTTACAGGTGAACACAATCAGGATTATTAAGAGTTTAACTCTCGGCTACTAAGTGGCAGAGACCAGCTTCAAACAGGCCCCCAGAACTCTGAGGCAAGAAGAGCAGCAAGAGTGAGGAGCACGTCAAGGAGGGAGCCTCCTCATTGGTGCCAGAGTAGGAGTCTCAGCCAATTCCAGGCCATCGGGCACGTTTTAACTCATCCCTCCCAGCCCGTAGAGGTCCTTGACACCTCTAGAATTCTCCTGCGATCTGAACAGCAGCTACTCGAGTTTCCTTCCATCAAAAATGGGCTCACATCAGCCAGCAAGATGGCTCAGCAGGTAAAGGCACTTGCCACCAAAGCTGAAGAACCTAGTTCTATCCCGGGGACCCACACGGTGGAAGGAGAGACTCTTACAAGTTGTCCTCTGACTTCCGTCCATATGGCGGGTGCACACCGCCCCTCACCCACGCCAAATAAATAAAGGCAACATAAACATTTTAAGGGCTCCCACGGGCCAGGCGGCTTGGACCGGGCCTTAGACATCCGTGGCTCCGGGCTCTCCAGCCCCTCACCCAAGCACCCTCACCCAAGCACCCTCACCCAAGCACCCTCACCCAAGCAGGGGTTCCCTGTAAAGAGCTTGCGGAAGGCTTCGCACTCTTCCAACCGGTTTCCGCTGTCCCCGCAGCCGCACCAGGGCGCGACGCGCGCGCTCACGTTGTCCAGGTAGTTGGGGGTGACTGCGGTGCCTGCAGGGGACCCCAGGGCGTGTGGTGGGCTCCCCGAGTTCGCCCCGCCCGCCCGCTCGGGGGGGCCCGCTCACCCGCCCAGCCGGCCTACCTATGAGGCCTGCGTAGGCGAGCAGACAACGCGGGCCCCGCTCCTCGGGGCAGCCGGCGGCGCGGGAGCCGGGCGCGGGAGCGCACGAGGCCTGGAAGGCAAGGAGACGAGGCCTGCGCGCGCCCGGGCGGCGGTGAGCGGCCCAGCCCGGCCCAGCCCGGCCCGCCCGCCCGCACCTACCTGCACAGGCGGCCGCGCTCGCAGCGGTCCAGGGCCTTCAGGCAGGAGGGCGGCGCCGGCCCGGGGCCCGCGAACGCGCAGGCCGGGGCGAAGGTCTGGCGCCGGCGCTCGGCGCACGCGGGGCTCTCGCACCGGCAGAAGAGCAGCGCGTGCGTGAGCGCCGGGGGCCCGCGGGCGAAGAAGCGGCGCAGGGCACGGCGGCAGCGGGAGCGCACGCAGCCCCCGGGGCCGCTCCGGTCCCCCGGCGCCGGCCGGCCCAGGCATCGTGCCACGTACTCGGAGCGCAGCTGCTGGCACTGCGCGTCGGCCGTGCACGCCTCGGCCGCGTCCACGCAGCGATTCCCGCCCGTGGAGCCGGCAGACCCTGGTGAGGGACGGGCAGGCTGCAGTCCTCCGTGCTTGGTTCTCCCCATTCCGCACTACGGAATTTGGGAGTGCCCGAACCCAAGGGGAGAGTGTGGCCCCTAGGTGTGACCTATAGGTGTTGACTGGACTTCATCCCCAGGAAGGGGCATGCGCAGGTCCTTGGGATAGCTACCCAGGTTGTGAGTGGATGCGACACTGGGAGGCTGGGCCTGACCTTTCCCCAGAGTCTGAGGTCCAGCCTCCACCACCATCTCCAGAACGGCCACATGCTTCCACAGAGGATCTACCGGGCTCCTTCCATCCTGCCCAGCTCCACCTGTCAGGACACTGAGGCTGACTGATCCGGCTAATGGAGACTTTGGAAATGGCGCCCCTCATCCTCCTTTTGACACACTGATGTTTCCTTCTCTGACACGTGGAAACCCCTTGGGTGAATCTACAGCTTTCTGGTCCTCCTTCTGTCCTGACCTGTACCTCCTGCCCCCTGTGCCAGGTGCTTCTTCGTGGGTCTGACTCTAACCTATCCTGCCCCACCTGAACTCTGGTTCTGGACTGGCAAAAGGGGGTTCTGGGCGTTGGATTCACTGGAAGGCACTGTGTGTTGAAGAGCACATTCAGGCCCCAGCTTCCAGATGTGGATTCCGACAGACACCTGATGGCAGGCCATATGTAGGGCTTCTTCCTGAGACACAGACCTGGGTGTTCATCAGTAATTTCAGTGAAGATACAGGTAAGTGACAGATGACAACGCACTCGGGGAAAAGAGAAGCCGGACACTTCGTATCAGAAGTTGGTAGACCTGGCGACTGTGTCCAAACTTGCCACTGGACATACCTAAATCCAGCCAAGTCAGGCCGTCTGCCGAACACTTTCCAAGACCCGAGTCACTGTCGAACACCTTCCATGACCCGAGTCACCGGACTCAGGCTTACGGCCCTTCCTTTTCCCATTCTCTTGCTAAGACTGGCCTCTCATCCATCACCCTTAAATGCGCTCCACTCAACATGGCACACCTCAGCTCTAAGGTCTCCTCAGCCTTAAAGCTTACCAGTATCCATTCTCCACGCCACACCTCAGAAAGTAACCCCTTCCCGTGATGCCCCAGTGGAGAAGGAGCAGTCCTGGAAGGTACAGTATTAGCTATGAGGCACAGAAGAGTCACGGTGGGTCATCGTGAAACTTCTCACAGCAGGAACTCTGACGACCACGTTTGGGAGGGGAGAGAGGAAAGGAAAAAGAAAGTTCCTGGTGCACAGGTATCGAAGCTAGACTCGGGAGGGGGTGGCTCAGCTGAACCTGAAGCTGGGGTTCAAGGCACTGTACGGCAGGGGCAGCGTGTCGGGGGTCCCTGGCCACAGAGCACAGGCCATGTTCGTGCATCCCTTCCAGAATTCCACCTTCTCCCTTAACCACTCTCGTGAAATCCCACCTTGTCCCTGAGGATGGGGGCCAGAGAGGGCAGGGGCCAGGACCAAGGCGGGGACAGCCTCTCACCCAGCAGCAGCAGCAGCAGCATTAGCAGCAGCGCAGACTCCGAGCAGCAGGCCATAACGATTGGCAGCCCCAGCTGGACAGGTGCCTCCTTCCTTGGACCTCCCAAGCCTGGAGGGCAGCGGGCACCCTGGCGTCTGGACTGACAGATGTGCCCCGGCTTTTGAGAGGAGCCTTTGTAGAGGAAGTCACGCCCTGCTCCTCACTTTGTCCCCACCCCAGACTCTACCTGCAGGTGGAGCCAGTCCCTAGGCCAGGGCCTGAAATGGCCTGAACGGATCCAGAGCACTAGATTGATTGCCTGTTGTACACAAGCACTTGGCTCCTAGTGGGAACAGTCCCTCCTGGGGGGCAGAGGGGAGCTTCCCGAGACCCCCAAATTAAACGAGAGTTAAACCTCACGTGTCCAGGAAAGCTGAAATGTGTGAGGACAAGGTGGGATTTCACGAGAGTGGTTAAGGGAGAAGGTGGAATTCTGGAAGGGATGCACGAACATGGCCTGTGCTCTGTGGCCAGGGACGCCCGACACGCTGCCCCTGCAGTACAATGCCTTGAACCCCAGCTTCAGGTTCAGCTGGGCCACCCCCTCCCCAAGGCTAGCCTTGGTACCGGTGCCCCTTCTCAAGGTTCCAGAAGCAGCTGTGGAGAGAAGACATCCCTGACAGGCAGGGCTACCTGCCAGCCATTCAGAGAGCTTTAGGGCTGCAGGTTCGAAAATCACCACCCATGTCTGGTGACATCCATGCCCCTGTAAGTAGCCCATCTTCACTCATATTATTTTAAGTAATCCCCACAAACTCATACATTTGCCAAGTTGGACTTTGGTAGAATCATTTCTTTGACCTACCGTCAGCTCCCTGTCTGAGATGAGTAGGCGTTTGTGTTGTATCTCCCCAGGAAGCCTCACACACCCCCATACACACCCAGCAACACCCAGCAACTCCAGGAGACCTCGTTTTAGGAACTCAGTTGTTCTTTTTCTTTCTTTATAATCTTATTGTCAGCTTTTCATTCACTGGTTTTAACTTGTAAAGTTGTGAAGACACTGACGCCCCCCACTCTAAACCCAGCTCTCTGATGTGGTCACGGCAGGAGGATCAACACTCGGAAATTAATACTGATGCAACACTATGAAGTAAACTATAGGCCATTTAAATTCTCCAGTTTTCCCATGAATGGCCTTTTTCTGTTCCAAGACCGGGGCAAAGTGGGATATGCTTGTAAGCCTAGCACTTGGGAGCAGCACTTGGGGAGGTGGAGGCAGAAGGATCAGGAGTTTGAGGCCAGCCTGGGCTACACTGAGATCTAGTTCTAAAAAAAAAAAAAAAAGAACAAGGTGGCAAGATGGCTCATTGCGTTGACTCCTGTCATCAAGGCTGACGCCCTGAATTCAGAGTCTGGGCCCGCAAAGCGGAAGTGAGCCAACCTTCTAAAGTTATTTTTCACTTTGTCTCACTGGCTGCCTTTTTACACTTGATGCAGAAAACCCAGGAAGGGCTTCCTGGCAGGTGCAGCCTTGGAATTGGGAAAGGATTGGGCTCCTTCCTTTACCAGGCATCCACCTCCCATTTGTCATCTTTTCTTAACCTTCCAAGAGCCACGAGGTCCTCCCAGGCCCTCCCAGCTCAGGTCAGGATGTGCCCTATACTAGAAACCCCACCCACAGTTTCCGGCATCCTTATTGTCACATGACAGAGCAAGCACTTGAACTCTTCAGTGTCAGGAATAGCAAACTCACCATCTCTCTTACCTCTGGCCCCCCAGAGGGCCACCTTTGCCATTTCAGAGCCACACACACCACCAGCCATCCCCCTGCTGTCTTGGAAGTAGAAGTAGGTGAGAGCCAGGGTTGATTTCCAGCTTTACTTTCTTTTTAGACCCTGGGGGTCTTTTGTTCCTGGAGCCTGAGGAATTCTCAGGTAAAACTTCCAGCAGACACAACAGTGTGGAGGGGGGAGGGGGAGAGGGAAACCCAGGCACCTGCACACAGCAGACAGAACAGAGTGTGTGTGTGGGGGCGGGGGGGGGGGGGGGGGGGGGGACGGGACACCCAGGCACAGACAGTAAGGCAAAGGGTGCTGAAGCAGGACCAGGTTCCTGTGGCAGAGTTGGGGTCCCTTATAGCCCTGAGAATGGGGTTATTTGATGACAGCATAAACCAGGCTCTAGATTTTTGTTTTTGTTTTTGTGTTTTTGTTTTTTTGGTTTTGGTTTTGGTTTTTCGAGACAGGGTTTCTCTGTGTAGCTTTGCGCCTTTCCTGGAACTCGCTTTGGAGACCAGGCTGGCCTCGAACTCACAGAGATCCGCCTGGCTCTGCCTCCCAAGTGCTGGGATTAAAGGCGTGTGCCACTACCACCCGGCTTGTTTTTGTTTTTTTGAGACAGAGTTTCACTGTAGCTTTTTCGGTGCCTGTCCTGGATCTCGCGCTGTAGACCAGGTTGGCCTCGAACTCACAGAGATCTGCTTGGCTCTACCTCCTGAGTGCTGGGATTAATGGCGTGTGTGCCACCGCGGTCCTGCCAGGCTCTAGATTCTAACATTGCAGCTACAGTTTATCCGGGATGAATCTATATGTATAGTGAGGACTCCATGGCTCCTACCACCTCACTCCTTTTTGTGCCCTGACTGCAGGGGCACCAACCCCACAATGATAGCTTCCAGGATCCCTTAGAATCACAAGTTCCTGTTATACATTTCACAGTCCATGCTACTCTGGCCCTTCTCACTCCTCCCCTAAACTTCCAGCTCTTGGGGTTCCTTGCCTACAGTACTCATTCTCCATAACCCTGCTATTTCTTGACATGCTCGCTCTCTCTGGCTCCCTCTGGCCCCGCTCTGCTCCTGCTTCTCTCACTGTGATTTCTCCATTCCCTGTCCCCTGCTACTCTCCACCCCCTCACAGATAGTCCTGGCCGTGTCTACTTCTCTGTCCCTCTACTCTGGACTCTCCCAGATGCCCTTGGCTGTTCTTTCTCTTTACAATAAAAATGCTCCCCCTAATCGCACCATGGAGCAGTCATGCTATCAGTATATATACTTATAGTCAGAGACTGCGCCCCAAGCCCAGGCTGGCCACCTGTCCCAGTTAAGCCCATCAGAAGAGCCGGATCGAAAGGGGAAAACTGAAAAGGGGACTTTGTTCAGTGTTTACATTGAAAAGACAGACAGACCAAGAGATCCAGGGAACACTTCCTGGGCCCAAGAGAGAAGTGAGATTAACGGTTTAGTAGAGGCCAAGGATTTGAACATCTAGGCAGCCCCGCCACCATTGACCCATCCTTATCCGGGCTTCAGTCTCCAGTGAGATGGTCTGACAAGCTGTTAGAACTGTAAAGTCTCTTTAGCACAGACTGGCTGGCACCGTTTCCCTCTCCCAACAGGAGATTCCTGTGGAGCCGGGAGTTGAGCGCTGAGGGCTCCGACTCAAACCACAGACTGGAAGCAGAGAGGGCAACCTGGGGGTTGTGCCAGGCTTTGCGCGCGATGCACTTCCTCCCACAAGGCCACACCTCCTGAACTTCCCCAAACACGGTCACCAGCTAGGGACCAAATATTCAAATGCCCACAAATACGGAGGACATCACATTCAAACCAACATGACACATGTACAATCACATACTTGGTTTATGTGGTCTGTAAGGAACATTAAATATTAATCTTTTCCATTAAACACTATACAACTTTTGTTCATGAGAAGGGATTCAAATGCTTTTTTTATCTTACCCCTTGTAAAGCCTTTATGCAAATATAATGCCCCAATCTGGCAAAACTTCTGTCTACACAAAGCCCCTCCTACATTCTCAAACATGGGTGACGTAAGTGTCCACCCTTCCCACCTTCCTTCACGTTGAGTTTGTTTGCTTTGTTTTTCAAGACAAGATTTCTCTGTGTAGCCCTGGATGTTCTGGAACTCGCTTTGTAGACCAGGCTGGCCTGGAACTCAAAGTGGTCCACCTGCCTCCAGAGTGCCGAGATCAAAAGCTTATACCGCCGGGCGGTGGTGGCGCACGCCTTTAATCCCAGCACTCGGGAGGCAGAGGCAGGTGGATCTCTGTGAGTTCGAGGCCAGCCTGGGCTACCAAGTGAGTCCCAGGAAAGGCGCAAAGCTACACAGAGAAACCCTGCCTCAAAAAAACCAAAAAAACCAAAAAAAAAAAGCTTACACCACCACTGCCCGGCTGCATCTTTTCAAAGTAGCTAATCGCTGAAGACTGGGAGGTCAGATCAGCAATGGTGAAGAGAACAGTTACCATTAGAAAAAACCCAAGTGCACACTCCCACCTGGTGTGCCTGCTCTTTGGAGTGCTCCCTCTTGATCAAGAGTGCAGTTTTATCTCACTGAGGCAGTTTGCCTTGTTTGGAAGTCCTTTGTGTGATACTGAGAATATTTCTGACAGGTTAGGGACCAAACCCAGGACTTCGTGTATGATAGGCAAGCACTTTCCCAATTCAGCTCATGCTTCAACTTTTACTATTTTAGATTTATTTTTAATTGTGTGTGTGTGTGTGTGTGTGTGTGTGTGTGTGTGTGTGTGTGTGTGCGTGCGCCCTGTGGAAGCCAGAGGTATCGGATCTCCTGGAGCTGGAGTTACAAGTGACTGTGAGCCATATGATACGGAGTTAAACCCTGGTCCTCTGGAAGAGTAACATGTGCTCTTAACAGCTGAGCCATCTCTCCGTTTCTTCATGCTTCAATATCTAACCTGTTTGTAGCCATTCTGTGACCTACATATATACATCAGACATACATACAGTGTGTGATGTGTATTATGTACACACTATTAGCTAATAGTAGTAGTTAAAATTGTAATTGTAAAAGAACCTGTGTTTGCCAATGGCCAAACATCAAGGGAAATCAAGATTGCCTGGTGCTGTGGGATGGTCTGTATGTCAAATGTGTTGCTGATTGGTCAATAAATAAATCACTGATTGGTCAGTGGCCAGGCAGGAAGTATAGACAGGACAAGGAGGAGAAAAAACTGGGAAGTGGAAGGCTGAGTCAGAGAGACACTGCCAGCCGCCATGATGACAAGCCGCATGTGAAGATGCCGGTAAGCCACGAGCCATGTGGCAAGGTATAGATTTATAGAAATGGATTAATTTAAGCTGTAAGAAAAGTTAACAAGAAGCCTCCCACGGCCATACAGTTTGTAACCAATATAAGTCTCTGTGTTTACTTGGTGGGGTCTGAGTGGCTGTGGGACTGGCAGGTGAGAGAGATTTGTCCTGACTGTGGGCCAGGCAGGAAAACTCTAGCTACAGCCTGGTGTTGTTTTGGGCTGTGGCTTTTCCAGCCATTCTCATTGCAACAGTCTCTTTCTCACTGCTGCTGGAAGAGAGCCTGGCCCGAAAATGCAGGGTTCGAATCCAGATGCTGCTCAGGCCATAATGTCTGCAGCAGCCTTTTCTCTCTCACAGATGTTGACGGACACCTACTGAGACACTGACTGTGAGTCCCTAGCTAACAGTCATCCTGAGGCTAGGATTCCTCATCAGAGCATCAAAGGGTACCCCTGCCTGTCCCCCCTTCAGGTTTATACTGTGAAACCTCCCCATCTTCCGAAAAGAGTAACAGACTGCCCCATGGGCTTTGAGGCTGTGCCATGCTGTGTGTGGTCCTGGGGCCTGAGCTCTCCTAGGAGTCCCCACCATGCTGTGTCTTCTCTGTCTCTAACAGGGCGGTACTAATTTTGTTTTGTTTTTGTTTATTTGTTTTTTGTTTTTCAAGACAGATTTCTCTTTGTAGCCCTGGCTGTTCTTGAACTTGATTCGTAGACCAGGCTGACTTTGAACTCAGAGATCTGCCTGCCCTCTGGCTCCCCGGGGCTGAAATAAAAGGTATGCACCACAACATCCAGATGTTGTTACTTTTTATTTTTTTTAATTTCTCAATAAATCCATCTCAGAGTCTCTTAAGAAAAATTCCCCAAATTCTTTCAGCAAATTGCAGCCAACAGCACTGATATAGCTTGTGAATTTATTGTCTAGATACATTCTGACATTTCAGAATATCATAGCTCTCAGATATGGTATGGCTCTGGGGTTCCTGGGGTGAGTAGGGTAGAGCTTAGCATCCGGCCCATCAGAAGTACAAGAGTTCATCTGACTTGCTGGTGATGCCCCTGGAGCCCAGTTCCTGGAGTGGCAGTGGTCACCTGTCTTTGTCTCCCAGCCTCAGGAGGTCCCCCTCTCCAGACACAGGATCTTGGCTTCTGGACTTGTGCCAAGAATGAAGTAGCAGGGAGAAGGGTCATTCACTGAGGGCTGGGGCCTGAGGCTGCCAGTCATGTGGCAAGGCCCACTTGTCCTCCCTCAGTGAAGACCTAAGAAAAACCATAGCTTCTCTCTTCCCTGACTTTAGGGCTTCCAGCATCCTGGTCTCCTGGACAAGAGCTTCCCTAGGGGCTCATGTCTCATTTCCTTATTGTACAAGCCCATAAATCTGAGTAGTAGGCAACAAGCTGAAAAAAGGGTTGGTGACTGGGCACTGGTCAGGGTCCCTCACCTACCGTGAGGTTCAGGCAGGTATGCATGGCACAAGCTTCTTAGGGTGGTTCTTAGGTAACCACAGAGTTCTCAGGGCCTGAAAACAATCCAAGAGATGAAGGGTACAAGCACTGTTAGCAGGAGGTCCCTAGGGCTGAGCCAATGACTGAAGGTAGTTGAGTGGTAAGTGAAGAAAAGGAAGCGTCTGGAAGAAGGCAGAAGGCAAGGACCACCCCTCACTTCCCTCTCCGTGTCCCAAGTGCCACACTCACCCAGAGGTGTGGGCTCTCCAGGGATGATGGAGCCAAACTCCAGGGGGTGAACACTGCCCGGGGGGTTGTCCCTGCAGGGGCCATCCGTGGGCCTATGCAGCAGATAGGAGTTCAGGAGGTGGGAAAGTGACCCGAGCAAGGCAAAGCAACTGCTTCTCCACAGCATGGTACACAGTCCCAGTTCTGTCATGACTGATTTCTCCACACACAGGCTTCAAGTTCCGCCTTCCTGTTCCATCCTTGAAGTGTCCAGACCTCACTTGAGACATAGGACCTCCAGGGCTATGGACATCCTCTCTCTCCAACCTAGTGTTTCTCCCAAGCTGACTCCACTCCAGCCCCCAATCACTCTAGATGTAGGGCTTGCTTGGGTTTCCTGTGGTGATATTTTGTGTGTGCTCTAACAGATAAAGCTTGCCTGAAGATCAGAGGGCAGAGTCAACCACTAGTTAGCCATTTAGGCCAGGCGGTGCTGGCTCACACCTTTTAAACCCAGCACTTGGGATCTCAGGCCTTTGCTCTCAGTATTTGGGAGGCACACACACGCCTTTAATCTCAGCACTAGGGAGGATGAGACAGGAAGTGATATGGCTGGGTGGAGAGAGGAATGTAAGGCGGGAAGAGACAGGCGCCCAGTCCCTTTCGGCTGAGGAATTGGTGAGGTGAAAGGTGGTTGGGCCTTGTTCCTTGGTCTCTCTGATCTTTCAGCATTTACCCTGATATCTGGCTCTGGGGTTTTTTTTATTAAGACCAATTAGAATTTGTGCTACAGGTCCCATCTGTCCCTGAAGTGCGGAGATGTACCCGGGGGTGGGAGCTGTGCCGTCAGGTGCTCCTCTCAGCTGGGTGCTCCACTACTTTCGCCTCTGCCCCATCTTTGGCTGCCTGTGCCTTTCCCACAAGGCCTTGCCACTTTTTTGTTTGTTTCATCCAAATATTCCTCACTGCCCTGGAGACCCTATCCTGAAGATGGTGTGCACGGGCTACTCCTCTGCGGTGCCCCTCCCAACTGCCACCCCCTCCTGGTTTCTCTGCCTGCAGACCCCCAGTCACTACCTGACCCTTCTGAGGCCTTCTCACTGGCTCCCGGGGCCTGTGGGTGCCATTCCCTGCCTGAGATACCCTCTATTCACTCTCCAGCCCAAACCCTGCCCTTTCCCTCAACGGGCCTGGAACACTTCCAAATTCAGGCTGCCAGACATGGACATCATGTGCCTGACTTGCCAGGGGTCAGTGACGAGGCAGCCCGAGGTGGGCCATGCTTGTTATTATGTAGCATTCCTGCCAGTCAAAGAAGGAGGTTTGCAGCATCATGGTCCACAGAGGGCAGGGGCACTGAGTCCTGGCACCAGAGTGGTCAGCACCATAGCTGGCCAGTGGGAGGGTGTGCAGAGGTGTGCTGGGCTTAACACCGAGGAGCTTGAAGGGAGCGACAGGGTGATTCGGGCAAAGGATGAGGCAGATGGCTGAAAACTCATGAGAAGGAAGCTAGACAAGTCTTTAGGGACACGGTGAAGCACAGACTGTGTTGAATTTGTTTTAAACGGAAAAACAAAACAAAACAAAAAAACAGGAAAATGAAGGTGAGGCCATGGCCTGTTGAGAGACATGGAAGAGAACCAGAGGAGCTGTGGTGGGGGAGGGAGGGAAGGGCAGTACCATTGACCAGCAGTGCTGGTCAGGGCAGTGAGCCACACCATGAACTTCTTCCCACTGCCTGTGGCTCTCACTCCACCTAGAGGAGAGACTAGACTCCATCCAGCTTCCTACAGCCCCAGCTCCCTGCAGCTCCCACTCCCCCAACACCCTGATGAGTTCTGAGAAGCAGGAGCCACGGGAGCAGGCTCGGTAAGAGGGACCTGAGCCCTCAGAGGCTGGTACTGAGCCTACCTGTGGCATATGGGGTCCCTCCTGCAGCACCACGGGGGTCGCGGACAGAGTGTTGGGAGCTGGTAGTAGCACCAGGCTAGGCCAGCCCCAGGGAGCAGAGGCAGCAGGAAGCTGAGGAGCATGGCCAGTGGGAAGGCATTTTGGTCTGTGGAGGACAGGGGTGCTGAGTCCCAAGCAGGCTGCTCATCTAGGTGGTGCCTGCCTGCTTCCACCCCATTGGCATACTTGCGGGCTGTGCAGGGCCACTATCCATGCTACCACCAGGGCCTGGCTTGTCACAGAAGGGCGGGTCCCAGCCTGCAGCACAGTGGCAGTTATGATTGCTATTGCAAACCTAAGAAGAGGATAGAAGAGTCACATGGAATCAAGGACCTCTAGGGTCACCCTGACTCCTTAGGCTACTCACCCCATGGTTATGGCAGGTAGTCAGACAACGCTCCAGCTCCGGGGAGGTAGCATTCTGGCAGTGCCTATCCTGGCACACCTGTGGGCATTGTGCCCACTGGGCAGTGAGGAGGACACTTTGGCATGGAGGATTCCATGACCAGGAGGGGTTGGGTAGGCAGGGCTCACCATTTTAGGTCCACAGCGAGTGCCTGGCTCCACCAGGCCCAAGTCAAGCTGGTCCAGCTGAGTATCAGGGAGCACAAATACTCCCCGGCAAGCCACCTCGCGACCCTCGAGGAGAACTGTGGAATCCATAGTCACTACACGCTGCCGCCGCCGCACAAATGGGTTTTGCTCCCCACCCTGGCACAGTAGCTTCCCACACTGAGCATCCCTGGGGAGGAAATGGAAGGTGGTCAACGTCATCGAATGCTCCACGTGCCCTGCCCTATCCTGCAGCTGTAGCCCCTCAGCTGCACACCTCACCTCCGTGCACAGGGAAGGAAGTTGCCCTTGCTGTCCTGACCACAGTTCCCCTGCGAATTCCCCATAGAGTTCATCTCCTGGAAACAGGGCTCGGGGGCAGGCTGGGATCCTGGGGAAGAATGGGGGTAGAGGAAGCTGGGCAGCTCGGGCCTCAGTTCCACGCGTGGAGCTTGCTCGCAATAGAAAACTGCGGGTCCCAGAAGCGATCAGGTCACCAGGGGCAAGCATGTGGTCTCACCAGGTCCCCAGAGCTGCTGGCACTGCTGTTCCAGCGTTGGACACCAGCCGTCTAGGCAATAGCCACGGCCCTTGGCGCAGGGTGAGCCATCCAGTAGGTAAATGTCTGCCGGACAATGCGGGGAGGTGCCCGTGCAGAACTCGGGGAGGTCGCAGTCTCTCGCAGCGGGACGACAAGGCGTGCCTGCGGGCTTTAGCTACACCGGTGACCCATTAGGAGAGGACAGAGAAACAAGTCTGACATCTTTGCCAAGAGCCTGAGGGAGCGTCAAGTGGACCCACCCACAGGGTCAAGCTCACACTCAGTAGGACTAGAAGGTACCAGCCCAGCAAGATCAAGAGGCCGCTCCCCAGTGTCCCTATCCCTCACCAGGCACTGTGCACAGCAATCACCGTGGGCGCATTGCGCCCCCGCACGCAAGGAGCAGTTGTGAGCAAAGCAGCAGAGGTCTGGGCACTTCTGGAGTGGCAGAAGGGAGAGAACAGAACACTTGACGGCGGCACAGCAAGTCAGACCTGGGAGAGGCTGCGAGCAGGGGTCAGTCAACCTTGGTCCAGGGACCGAGACGCTAACCTGACCTGGCCAGAACCGCAGTCACACTCTTCTCCTGCTTCCACAAAGCCGTTTCCGCAGCGGGTGGGCAGCACCAGGAGCCCGGGGCCCGGGGTGTTAGAGAGGCACGCGCCACCCCCTTTGCGGAAGAAGGTGCGCAGCTGGCGGCGGCTGCAGGCGCTGAAGATGCGCGGGAACGGGTACCTGTGGGAGGAGGCGGGTGTCGACGGTGTGGGAACCATCGGGTCTGTGGGAACCACCTCCTAAGCTCTGGCTGCTATTGCACTCTGGGCCCTGGGGTTAGCCACACAGCCGCCAAGATGTGCAGTTACCTCCTGAGCTAAGCGAGCGGTCTAGAGAGGAGAGGGCAAAGGACCCGCGTAATTACACAAGAAACCTGTGACACAGGAGGCTGACACACAGGAGGCTGTGACGCCAAGATCCGGTAGCCCAGGCCCCAAGGGAACCAACGATCAGGAGTGGAGTACCCTAGTACCCGAATGCCATGCTGAGACTTCTCCACCTGAGGCCCCATAAACAGGTTCTTATCACCCCCACTGTACAGAAGAGGGAACTGAGGGGGGTAACCAAAGACACGCAGGCGACGCAAGCAGGTCCGGTGGCACCGATCTTCCGTGCGTGCGTACCCTGTGGCTGCCTCCATGACGCAGCCTCCCCGCTCTGCGTCTGCCTCCGCGCAGCAGCCGCCGTCGGGGTCGTGGCGGAGGCCCAGGCTGTGGCCTATCTCGTGGGCCATGGTGGCTGCCGTGCCGATGGGGAGTTCCGAGTGGTCCTGGGGAGCCGGGCTTCACTGAGGACCACAAGCCCTGCCCAGGCCCCTCCCCTCCTGGGTCCCCTGCGGAGCTTACTGTGCTCACACCTCCGGAGCTCTCTGAGCTGCACATGCCCTCCACAGGCGCCAAGCCCACCGTGGTGCCCTGGAAGGTGCGACCCCTGGAGGTGGCGGAGCAGGGCGTGACTGGGTGGGGCTGAGAGCAAGGGCCACCCCGCAACCCCTGTGTGCCAAAAGGACACCCACGTGAGCAGTTGCGTGGAGTCGTGTGGCCGCCTAGCCCACAGTCCACGACGCCACTGCAGGAAAGCCCAGAGGGTTGCGTTTGCATCCGGCGTGATGCGGCTGCGATCCTGTCCCGTCCACACTTCCAGGCCGGTCAATACCACCTGAATATCCAGAGACCTGAGAATCTGAGGAAGAGACCGGCTGAGGCCAGAATCAGGCATCCCCTGTGCCGGGGCCAGAGCTGCTCAATTGCCTCACTCCCACCCCTCAGCGCCCTAACCACTCAACCTGGTCCACGCAATTGGCAACTTCCAGGAGGCGCTGTCTTGTGTGGTTCAAGTTCTGGTGCTGGACCAAGAACTGGGAAGGCAGAAATCCCTGGGTCATAAGGGGCTGATCAGGCTCCAACCCAGCCCAGTCAGACCTCTTAGGTCTCTCCTCACCAAGGTGTGGTCAGCCACTATGTACAGTTCCAGGTACCTGGAACTCCTGCGACCCCCTCGCTTCACCTGGGAGGGGCAAATGGTGAGGGTCAGGATGCATGACTTGAGTCTTGGCCACCAGCCACAATTCTCAGAACAGTTCAACTTTTGTTCAAACTTGATTCTTCAACCTCCGAATTAAAACTGGGAGACTGCATCCAGGGTTTGCATTCCTGTCTCCTTTGGTCTGAAGGACCCAGGGGAGTCTCAAGGCCCACTCTCATCAATGCCCCCTTACCCTGCTCTGGGGGACGTGAGGAAGACTGGCCATTCCTGCTTTGTATTTGGAGTTCTTCTCTCTCCAGGTCCTTCTCCAAGTGAATAACTGCTCCATCCGGAAGATCTTGTGGGTTGAGAAGTCCTTGGCGTCCCCAGGAGCCCAGGGGTGCAGATAGTAACTGATATTGCTGCTGAGCACAATCAGGCCACTAGAGTGTGGTAAAGTGCAGGGGTGTGTGAGAACGAGCTCTCGCCTCGGCAGCAGGTCCTGGCCCTTTTTCCCAACTCCTTACCTCATCCCAGAGCAGGTGCTGAGGACTACCCAGGATTCCAGGAAGCCCCTCACGTGCCCACGATAGTGGCAATGATCCTAGAAAAGAAGGAACTCAAACTGGAATCTTAGCAAGGGACAAGGAGGAAGGGAGGCCTGAAGGGCTGGCTACAGTCTCCTTAGGAAGGCGAAACGGGATAGGGCAGGCATTTAGGGGGGCATTCCCAGCATTCCCAGCATCCCTCATGCTGTCCTCAGAGCCCATGGCAGTGTCTCACCGTATGGTTGGGGAACAGCACCACCGGATGCCCATCTGGGCTGTAGTGGGTTTCTGTGTATCCTGGGGCCAGGAGCCTGCTGGGAAGCAGGTGTGTTTTAGGAGTCCTGAGTTTAGACCTGTCTCCAGCTGCTTGCCTTCAGGCATTCCTCCCTGAGCGCTAGTTGGGTGCTTTGAATGAGGCATGAAGTGTGTCTGAGAGAAAGGACTAGAAAGGCTGAGAGCACTGTTCCTCGAAGACAAACCTCAGGCTAAAAGAAGACAAAGGTCTGGAGTGAGCCCTGGGCGGCTCAGATGGGGAATGGGAATCTGGGAAGCCCCTGGGAGGAGCAGGCAGGGACCTTCGCTGCTGTGGAGCCTGCAGCAGGCAGCTGAGGGGGAGGGCTCAGAACACTACTGCAGAGATGCCGCATGGGGCCAAGGCCCTGAGCTCTGCTACTCCTGTCTTTTCTGGGCGTCTGTTGAGCAGATCCCAGGCCCTCCAGTCCTTCTCCTCAGACTGCTGGATCCCATGTGTCCATCTGACCCTCAGTGGTGCTTACTCCTGACTTCCAGAAAAAAACTAAGTCCCACCTGCCTGCATCTGCTTCTGTTCAGCCCACCTGGGCAAGGGGCCCTTGACTTGGAGCTCGACTATACTCAATACTGAGGCTCCCCCGCTACCCCACCAAGGACATAGCAGCCACAAATCAATAACAGTGGTTCCTTCTTCTTCTTCTTCTTCTTCTTCTTCTTCTTCTTCTTCTTCTTCTTCTTCTTCCTCCTCCTCCTCCTCCTCCTCCTCCTTCCTCCTCCTCCCTCTCCTCCTCCTCCTCCTCTTTCCTCCTCCCTCCTCCTCCCTCCCCTCTTTATATTTTGAGACGGGGTTTTGCTAAGTTGCCTAGGCCGGTCTTGAACTCACTCTATAACCCAGATGGGCCCTGACTTAACCCTGTGCTCCTTCTGCCCAGCTTCCTAAGGAGCAGGAATTACTGGCCTGACTTCAGTTGTTCTTCTTACAGAAAACCCTGACTCCAGCTTCACCTTGTCCTCCAGATTGCCCACCGAAGACCCGGGTTGTTGTACATCCAGTCGTTCTCCCACCCACTACAACTTTGCTTCTTTGCTGGCTGTGCTCATACGTGCAAATGTTCAATGTGTGCACAAACACACAAGACAGTTGAGTGGGTAAGGATGTGGCACTACCAGGAGCTATGGTTTGGAATGGTGTTACGGTTTGTACCAGTGTGTCTGACTCCAGAGGGGAGAATAAAATGAATAGAGTGCTTCCTTTAGTGCCCGCAAGAAAGCAGTCACAGAGCAAGTGATACCGTTGGCGATGGAGTCTATAGTCCCACATTTCCATCTTGTTCATCCACTGCACTCGGGGCACCATCCTGAGATACACCTGTTTCTCACTTACTGCTTCAAAGTCTTTAACTCTTCAGGGCTAAGATATTTAGCGGTAAAATGCCTCCTGCAATCTGGCCCTACTAGGACTCCCTAAGTTCTTCCCTCCCGGCTCTCTTCCATTCAGATGGAGAGATCCCACACCGACCAGGTGAACTGCCATCATTGGATACTGACCTTTGCAGCTACAGTGCTTTTTGTCTCATCTGTGGAAGGCTGTCTAGGATTTTTAACATATCAAGAAATGTCCACTAGGTGGTGCTCACTCATCTCCAGCAGGGAGCTACCAAACTGTTCCAGGGCTTGACATGGAAAAGTATGTATGTACCTACAGCTGGGTTTAGCCCACTTCAACCTCAAGTACATTAGTCACTCCACCTGCCAATCATGCGTCTTCCCACCCAGCCTCCCCCTCTAGAGAGGGTCAGTTCCGGGTGTCAGCCAAACCCCAGGCTGATACTTACTGGTTCTTCTCCAGTTCAAGCAGGAGATCCTGGCCTTCAGCCTCCAGAGCCACCAGCATCACCTCTGGCTTCAAGATCTGACCAAGAAGGAATGCAGTGACACACTAGCCTCTAGGCCACCTGCCTGCGGGGAAATAGGTGGATGCTCTGGGGCTGGCACATCGGAACAACAGGCCCCTGCTTTGCAGGGAGTGGAACGGTGCGGGAGTGGTTAACTCATAAATGCTCCCAGTGCCTGCGTTTGTGACAGTGACCCCTTAAAGATGCATACACAGCCTGCCAGGGGCTCCTTAGCCTTTCTCTTGGTCTGCCCTCTTCTTTTGTTCCTAGAAAGGGCTTGAAAAACAGAAGGCAGTGGGCAGCAAGGGTATCATGGGGTCATTGGGTAGGCTGTGGCTTCAGCCGGCTCATTACTGCCTGAGGGCTTGTTCTGTTTCGTTTGTATGTTGGTTGGTTTGCTTGCTAGTTTGTTTTTGGTGCTGCAGCTCAAACCCAGGGCCTTGCATAGGCTACACAAGAGCCAAATCACTGGGCTTCCTCCCCAGCCCCTGGTTCTGTATCTATTCATCTAGCTGCCTTCCCCTCATTCCTGATAGAACCCAGACTTTTCCCTCCACCTCCCATTCCGGCACACTGCCTGGTCCTCTGAAATTCCATGTGGCCTTCTGGCTGGCCTCATAACTGAGCTCACAAAGTAAACATGAACCCCAACTTAGGCCCCCCAAAAGTGTTGACTCTCTCAGCTAGATGTCAGAAGGGCTGGCCTTGCCCCCCTAGCCACCTCTCCTTTCTCACTGACTTGCCTCTTTCCTGTTGTCCACTCAGCCTGGCTAGAAGCCAGAACTGGAACTAGCCCAGGAGATTCCAGGGGAGAGGCTGCTGTATTTTTTTTTTTTATGTTTTCCCCACCCTTGTTGGCTGTCCCCTTTATCCCAAAATGCACCAGGTTGGGACCCTGGCCAAGAGTCTTGCAGGGGGGCCCTTCCCCAGCAGGTGTAGAGTGGATGGCCCTCACTTCCCCAGCCATGGGCCCCACAAGGGCCCAAACATAAGCTTATATGGTTGGAATGCCTCTTGCTTTATGAGATAATGTTTGCACTGGGAAAAAGGCAGTTGCCCCGACGGATGGTCCCGGTCCCTCTGCAGTCCTTCACTCCAGTGTCCATCCCCCTGCAGTATCATCCTCTTTGTGAATCAGACACGCTGCTGAAGTGCCTCCTGTCCTCACAGGCTTCCTAATGCAAAGCAGAGCCCTCTGGGATTCTCCACTCAGTCACAGACCAAGCCAGGCAAGGAGAGAGGCCACAGTCAGGGGAAGCCTGGTGTGTGTCCAGCTCTCTCAAGTCAGCTTTGCTTGGCCACTTGAGAGAAATCCCAGAGGTCTGGGGGACCCCAGTGAAGGCTCTAAGTTGGAAGGTTTGGGTTTCTGGGAACCCATAGACACTGTGGCAATACTCTCTTGGGTTTGGACAGCGGGGCTGCTCGCTCTTGCCTGGAGATACAGAATCAAACTCTCCAGCGTGAGTAGCTGCAGGAAAGAAGGAAAAGCAGCCAATAGTCTGACGTCTTTTCGATCTTAGGGGGTCTCAGACTGCTAAGACCAATGAGCTATTCCAGCATGAGCAATTTTACAAGCTGTCCGGGGCTCAGTTTACCTCTCTGTGAGGTAGGCATACCAGTCCTGTCCTCTCAGTTTGCAGTATAGCTATAATGGCACACACAGCTAGGGCATGGCTATACTGGAGAATGTGATGGGCAGGAGGAGGCTGAGCAGTGTCCTGGAGAAGCAAAATGGAGTGGGCTTGCATCTGGAGATACTAGGAGAACGGACTACTGCTTCCTTGCCACAGGTGGATTCCAGCCGTGGAAGCGGAGGTTACAGGACAGCAGCGTGTCCATGGAGTCACATGTTCCCCACAAACATGGCCAAAGGAGGATGTTTTGGTGCCCTTCCTTTAAAAGCTTCTGAAGTTGGCATGATGGCTCACAACTTGAAGCCCAGTAGGGCTATGTGGTGAGACCCTGTCCTAAATCAAACAAAACAGACTAGAACAGAACACATGCAAAAACAAGCTCCTGAAAGGCTTCAGGCCCCAAACTCTGAACTCATCTCTGCCTAGTGGAGTGGGGATAGCCTGGGAGTTCCTCCAGTGGAGGAGGGGGTTAGGGCCAGGAATAGAAGAGGGTAGGAGGGAGGAAGCCCAAAATGACTTCCATGTGTGTGGGCTCACGCCATCGAGATGACTCCCTGTCCCACCCACCCTGACAGGGAGTGGCTTAAGGGTACAGTGATTTGGTTCTGAGAACCCCATAAAAAAAAGTCACACTGCATTCTGGGGGAGGACAATGGGACTGAGACCCAGGCTTATAGATACTGACCAGCTCCTCCAGTGTGACCTTGAGCCAGAGTCCTCCATCCAGGATCCTGTGGGGCGTAACTGGCTCTCCAGGGACATTTTCTGGTGTGAAGGCAGAGAATGGTGTTAGGATCAGAGCAGGTAGGGGCAGGAAGCCAGCAGGGAGGGTGAGGCCCTGAAAGCCGGGCTCCATTTGCAACAGTCCCGGGACTTGGCGTTCATGGGGCATCCCCCAGAACGGAGCAGCGGCCAGGGGGGTGGCAAAGGAGAAACCAGGACACCAAGAAACATCCCCACTGGGGAATGTGAGAGTGGCCAGACCTTGGGGAGCTGGCTTGAGGTCGGAGAGCATGGGAAGAAGCCCAGACCCCAGAAGCAGAAGGGGTGGAAAGGAGGAGGCAGCCTCGGGTATTTTTAGACTGGACAGCAGATGCCTTTAGGGTGAGCGATGTGTAACCAGAGGCTGTCTTCTCTACCATCCGAGCAAGAAGAAGCCACCAGATGTCTTGCTCAGAGCTCCTGTTGGGGTTGATGCTGATGCAGGACTCTGAGGGACCCCCCTCCTTTTGTGAACGGGAGGGAGGAGCTGGGGTTCAGAGCCTCAGTGCTCCTAGGCCAGGCATTTCCAAGGGGGCTCCAGGAGGAATACCAGAGCCAAGCATTACTCAGAGGGTGCTGGAATGTTCTTCAGGAATGTTCCTACCTCCCCTCTCCTATCTGGTCCCAGCAACCCTCACAGGACCTATCGTGCAGGAGCCAGGCTCCGGCAGCCAGAGCCTGCAGCCAGCCCTCTCATCCCTCTGGCATTCATTCCTCCGACAAGGCCAGCTCACAGAAAAACCAAAGAACCCCACCCACCACCAGCTCTGACCCTAGCCCTGCCCAGGCTAAGAGCTATCTCTGAGCTTGGCTCAGCTCTTCCTGGGCCATCCCAACTCTTTTTCCTCTCCCACCTCCTCTCAAAAGTCTGGAATAGGAGCTAGAGAGGTGGCTCAGTGGTTAAGGCTGTTCTCCCAGAGAACTGGGTTCGGTTCTCAGCACCCAATGATAGCTCACACCTGACCGACCACCTGTAACTCTGGTTCCAGGGCTCTGTCTCCCTCTTCTGGCCCCTAAGCATACCTGGTACCTCTGTGGTACACAGATGTACATGCAGGCAAGACACTCGTGCACATTCTAAAAATCTGGACTAGCAGCAGCTCCAGGAACCCCCCTCCTTGAAGTCCCATGTGCTTCTTAATTAATGAGCCTTCGTGCAGTTGGGGAAGAGGGTGTGGCTTTGGAATGGAGGCTGAAGAAGAAGGGAGGGGAGGAGAGGGAAGGACAGAGAAGCCTTCCTGGAGGTAAAAGATCTCTCAGCCAAGAGAAGGCTTAGCTGGGCATGGAAAACCAAGTCTTGCTGGCCTCAGGTCATCAAGGGTGCAGAATGTGGATGTTCTCTGCTCAGTCCTGCAGGGGCACCTTCAGGAAGGGGGCAAGGATGGGGTTAGGAGTCTGGGTGGATTGGAGGGGAATCTAGGAAGCCAGTCTGGGTTAGGGAACACAGAGGCAGTCTCTCCCATGAGTTCTATCATCAGCTGTCCCCTGGTTAAAGGCAGTACAGCTGTCATTCACCCCTTTTAGAACTGTAACAGAGCAGGAGTCCCTAGGTATGGGGTCGCCTCCAGGCTGCCCAACAACCCAGTTCTCAGTCCTTCCGGGCTCCTTTATAATGCCTCCTCTGCCTTCTGGTCAGTCAGGTGCTTGCTGTAGGGAGTTTGGAGACTCATGGTGCTAAGAGCCTTGTCATACCAGAGTGAGGGGAGGTTACAGTAGGAACAGAGAGCGGCAGTCCCCAGGCATTGCTGGGCAGACACCCCCTGTTTGAAGAACAGCCTCACAAGGCAACCCGATCCAGGATGAGGGGAGGATAAGCCAGATGCAACAGCTAAGCCTATAGGCAGAGCACTCCGAGGACCCCAGGGCACCAGACCTTCCTGGAGGAGGAAGACCCTCTGGCCTAGAAGTCTGGAGCTGGGCCGCACTGAAGCGGGGATAGGGCCAGCCCAGAATCCCCTTCCCACGTCCTTTCATGAACAGGTAGCACGGGATCTGGAACTCTCTGTTCCACTAGTTGCTCTGGAACCCATGACCACCACCACTTCACTTCCCCTAGAGGAGCCCCCGGCCCACACCCTCACCTGGAAACCTCGGGGCGCTCCGCAGGGGCCACGCAGGAAGCAACAGCTGCAGCAGCTGCAGCAGCAGCAGCAGCAGCAGCAGCATGGGAGACCCCCTGGGTCCCCCGCACTCCGGGCCCATGGCTGGGAGTGCCTTGGCCTCCTCCTCTGGCTCTGCTCTTGGCTCCACCCCGGCCGCAGGGGGCCCGCCTCCTCTCGCCCTCAGCCCTCCCCGCGCCACCTCGCGGGACCCTGTCCCTATACTGGCCCGCGGGACTTGAGCTCGCGCTGCGGGAGCCCGGGCGACCCTCCCCGGCGGCCGCGGCAGCAATCCTACCCACGCTGGCAGAGGGAGGGGAGGGCGGGAAGCTCCGGGGAAGGTTCTTGGAGAACCTCTCCCGGTGCTGAGCGGAGGCATTGGCTGCAGGACCCCCCGCAGCTGTCGGCTGTCTGGTCTCCGGTCCTGGTCTCCCGAGTGACCTCTGAACCTGCCTTTCTACCTGTCCTGCACGAGGATTCCTTCTCTGCAGTGAAGTCTTCGGAAGTAGCTGTCCACCTGCCGCGGAGGCGCGCGTGAGTACCTAGGGGCCTTTTGGAGGCTACGGGGCTGGAGACTGTGGTTCCTGGAAAAGGCGATGGTGGTGAGCGCAGGGGAGGAGCAGCGATGGCCAGGGCAGAGCTGTGCTGTGCCACAGACCCCCCCGCTCCCCAGGCGTGAGGGATCCTTACCCAAATTTTAGGGACATCACTTTCTGTATTGTAAAGATCGCTTCACATAGTACGTAATCATTTGGATATCAAGAGACTTAACTTTGAAATAAGCTGGTTGATAAATTGGCTGTAAGAATTTGGAATGTGAAAGTCTGATGACAGAGAAAGTTACATGTACAGGATTCAAACACCAGACAGTATCAGGCCAGTGGGGCCCACTTGGGTCAAGACAGGACACTCAAGATTGTCAGCCTGGGCAATATAGGGAGAGGAAGAGAAAGGGAAGGGTGAGAGGAAGGAGAGAGAGGGAGAGAGAGAGAGAGAGAGAGAGAGAGAGAGAGAGAGAGAGAGAGAGAGAGAGAGAGAGAGAGAGAGATCAATCCCTAGCATGACATTAACTGGATGTGGCAGCGCACACCTGCAATCCCAACAGATGGAGGCAGAGGACACATTCAGAAGTGTGAGGTCATCCTGAACTGGAGGGGGAGTGCGGGCTCTGTCACCAGGGTGATGGCTTAGTGCAAAATGCCTGCCGTGTGGTCATGAGTTCAGATCTCCAGCAACTACAGAAAGCCAGAGCAGTGGCACATGCCTTTAAGCCAAGGGCTGGACTGGACAGAGACAGGCAAATTGTTGAGCTCCAGGTTCAGTAAGAGACCCTATCTCAAAAATTATGATGGAGAGTAACAGGAGAAAACTCAAAGTCATCCACACATGCACGCACAGGTTAATGTACCTCCCCCACACAAACGCGTACACATACATGCAGAAGTGAGGGAGACTGAAAGAGAAGAGAGCCGTGATGCACGCCTGTAATTCCAGCGCTCCAGAGGCAGCTCAAGCTGTACAGCAAGACCCTGCCTCAAAAACCAAACACAAAAGTATAAAATGCTTAGGAAAGTCTTCCTATCTCATCAGTCTCCAACCTTTCAATTCTCATGTCCCACAGGAAGCCACTACTACTGATTTCTTACATAAGCTGTTTTAGATACCGGGGTGTGTGTGTGTGTGTGTGTGTGTGTGTGTGTGTGTGTGTGTGTGTGTGTAAGTACGTCTGTCTGTCTATCTATCTATCTATCTATCTATCTATCTATCTATCTATCTATCTATCTTTCTATCTTTCTATCTCATACTCATTCACATTTGTAGCCCATTTTTCTGGTGAATGGTTGGTCTTTCTGTTAACAGTTTGAAGGACCTCTATGTATAGAGGAGATTAGCCTTTGTCTGGAGTGTGGATTGTATTTTCCCAGTTCATGAGGTTTACCCAGCCTATTACCTATGTCTTTAGCTCCTTTATTCTTGTAGATGAGTAGTTTTCAACTGTATCACCATAATCACATTTTTCATGAATTCTGCTGCCACTGGACAGTCCGTGGGTCTGAATTTGAGACTGTTACAAAAAGATTACAAGGGTTTTCATGTGCGGGTGTCCTTGGCGTCCTCCCTGGCCTGTTCCCCTTCTTTATCTGTCTGCCTGGGAACACATCCTTAGTAAGTCACTTGCCTGTGAATTATTGCCTTTTGGGTAACAATACTGGCTTTGGTCATGTTGGGGGCTCCAAGACAGACAGGTGGAGAGGCTGCATGTCCTTTCCCTGTAAATGAGTAAGCGAGGTCACCAGAAATACTGATGGCAGCAGAGGCTGTCCTTCCACTGAATTCCCTGTTCCTTCTGCAAGGTGAGCCTGGGGAGTGGAGGGATAAGTCAGAGGTGTCTGTCATGTCCAGACCCACTCTGATGCCTCTTCTCTCCTGATGGAAGGATCTGAGAAAGTTAGAGTTAATTGTTAACCTGGCAGGATCTAGGATCACCTGAGAGACAGGTCTATGGGAAAGCCTGTGGAGAATTATCTTGATTGTTTGATGGAAGTGAGAATACTTGTCCACTGTCAGTGGTACCATTCCCTAGGCAGGTGCCATCTGACAGAGTTGGTTGATGACTTTTAGGTAGCTTCAGCCTAAAACAAGCTGAGGATAGGGAAGTGGAGCAGAGCCCCGGTGTAGACACTTGGAGAGTCCTCTACATGTAGCCTAATCGGAATGCAGAGGGGCAGAGAAGAAGGCAGGCCCTTCAAAGAGCACTATGGCTGCTACAGTGAATGCAGCTCCTGCTGCAGAGTGTGATTTCTCCTTATTTGGAAGCTGTCACTGACTACCAAAGCTAGAATTATTCCTGCATGGTACCTCTCACTATGGCATGTCTCACATGGCTTCCTAGTTGCCCATTTCCTCTCTTTCACCAGACCAAAAGCACCATGATGGCTGGGAATGCATTTGCTGTACATCCTGGTATGAGGCCTGGCCCAGCTGAAATTGGTCGCCTAACAACTGGATGGTGAGACTCTATATTGCTGAATACACAGCACACTTCGGCTGCAGCACATTCAGAAATCAAGCTGGAACTGACCTAATGGCACTTTCACAGTGCCAGAAGGTGCTATGCAGGTTTCCGGGGGAGAAAAGTCATCAATGGCATTGTCCAGCGGTGAACCCTGAATGCTGCAGTAGTGAGCTGCCAGGTAAGGTGTGCCCAGCGGTGAACCCTGAATGCTGCAGTAGTGAGCTGCCAGGTAAGGTGTGCCCAGCGGTGAACTCTGAATGCTGCAGTAGTGAGCTGCCAGGTAAGGTGTGCCCAGTGGGGGCAATAGTGACATGAAGGTTATGGGAGTAACCAACCGCTTTCTGAGTGGAGCTGAGGCCTGCTCCACAGGAGAGAATCTATGCCCGGTACTGTAGACCCGCTCAAAAGCCCATGGCTCAGAGGTCATAGACCCTGGGAGGGAGCCTATTACTGATATTTCACTAAATGGGACATGTTGTTAAACAGGGTTTTTTGGGGGGGCGGGGAGGACAGGGTTTCTCTGTGTAGTTTTGGTGCCTGTCCTGGATCTCACTCTGTAGACCAGGCTGGCCTCGAACTCACAGAGATCCACCTGCCTCTGCCTCCCGAGTGCTGGGATTAAAGGCGTGTGCCACTGCTGCCCAGCATCCAACAGCTTTCTAAATATTTGTTTATACCCATAGCTTAGTGCTGCTCTCACCCTTGGCCAGAGAACTGCAGAGGGCAACAATGAATGCAGAGAGTAAGTGACTGTCGAGTGCTCAGCCCTAAATGGGGCATATGTATCAGTTCTCCAAAGGCTCAGGGGACATCAGGGAAGAGGGGACAGGAAGAATAGAGGTGCTGGGGCATGAGGAGGAGTACTACAAGCTGCTGTGTTCTGGACTGACATGTTCATGGCACTCATGAATGCAGAGCAGCGGTGGTTTCCTGCACAAGACCAAGCCAGTGAGAGCAGTCGCCATTCCAACAGGCAGCACTAATTGGACTCTGGGTTATAAAAATAAATAATAAACAAATAAATGAGAGGACATGAAGATGGGAGGGGACATATTGGAGGGTGTCTGATGGGGGGCTGAGAGGGGACACCCAGGAATGGGTATGATCAAGATACAGTGTGCATGTAAAATTGTCAAAGATACTCAAAATAAAGTAAAATAAAAATATGAAATAAAACTGATCATGTGTGGTGTTCCACACCTTTAATCCCAACACTTGGGAAGCAGAGGCAGATGATATCTATGAATTTAAGACCACCTTGGTCTACAGAGAGTTTCAGGCTAGCTAGTGCTACAAAGTGAGACCCTATTCAAAAATAAGTAGATAGAAAGATAGATAGATAGATAGATAGATAGATAGATAGATAGATAGATAGATAAAACAAGAGGGCTGTAGCCTCTAAGCCATGCAGAGATTAGTCATTCTTGAAAAACTATATGGCTTCTAAATCCAGAGAAATTTCCAGACTTGTCAAGGACTTTCATGCCAAGCTCTCTAAACAACCATTAATTTACACTTTGCGGTTGCAGTTGGAAGGGGAACAGTGGATCAAAGCTGGGGGCGGGGGGAGCCCAGAACACCATTGATCGTGCCTGGAAACATCATGGAAAATGATTTATCAAATGTTTGTTGGGGTCATTCTCAAAAGTGCATCAGGGAGTGTCCTGAAAACCGCGCCAGAGCTCAGAATGGGCACCAGTGCTCTCAGAGTCTGCAAATGGGACTCAGCCTGTGATAGCCCAGAGCACGGTGTTTGAGACAGGCACTGCCCATTCCAGCTCACAGGCAATGTCTGGAGTGGTGCCTGGAGACGCCAGGCTGGTGCTCAGGTACTTCAGAAACAGTGATGGGCATGCATGGAAGTCCCCAAAGTCACAATCAAGGCTCCATCCCTGACAGCCCAGAACATCCAAGGGGAAGCATTTGTTCTTTGGCGGGTAAACCAGTGCTTAGAAACCCAAGAAATCAGCCAGAATTTGGATAAGCAGCTCAGGTTCTGGGTATCTGACATAAAAGGGGAAATTTTTTTTCTTTCCTTCCTTTCTGTTTCTTACTTATTTATTATGTTGTTGTTGTTGTTGTTGAGACAGGTCTTATTGTGTAGACCAGGCCTGCCTCTGCCTCCTGAGTGCTGGGATTAAAGGCGTGCATCTCCGTATTCCACTTGTTCTGTTTTTAAGGGATGAAGTTTTGCTGTGTTGGCTGCTCACACTGGTCTCAGTCTCCTGGGCTCAAGGGATCCTCCCACCTCAGCCTGGAGAGACTGGGACTGCAGGTCCACAGCACAACACCCAGGTTAAGTGGCAGATTTTTTAAATAAACTTTCTTGCCAAAATATATATGTTCAGAAAATGAGCAGTTCTCTAAACTTCCACAGAGTGAACACTCATGTGGCTCCTGCCTATCCCTGTCGCTCATCAGTAGCCGCTGTATTGACTTCTAGCCTGCTGCTTAACTCTGCCTGTCCTTGGACTTCATTGCGAACTTGATTGGGTTTGGAGTCACCTAGGAGACACACCGCAGGGCATGTCAGTGAGAATGTTTCCAGAGAGTTTTGACTGAGATGGGAAGACCCACCCCAAACGTGGGCAGCAGTACCCGATGGGCTGGTGTCCTAGCCTGGGTAGGAAGAGGAAAGGTAGGAAGACAACGGTACCGTCACTGGTCTCTCTCTGCCTCCTTACTGACCCAGTGTGACCAGCTGCCTCCTGCTCCTGCCAGCTGGAGCCACTTTGGCTGCCACCTTCCCCACCAAGGTGAGACTGTGCCTCCTCCTAATCGTGAACCAAAAAATAAACCCTTCCTTCCTTACTGGTGCTTTGATACAGCAGTGAGAAAAGTCACTGCTCCATACAGCTGTGACTCTAGCTGCCGGCCCCTCCACTGAACATCACTGCTCCATACAGCTGTGACCCTAGCTGCCGGCCCCTCCACTGAACATCACTGCTCCATACAGCTGTGACCCTAACTTCCAGCTCCTCCACTGAACATTTGAGGACCATACTCATGTGGCCACCTGCAGGTACAGCTTTTCGTATCTGCATGGAGCATCCCACTGCTGTAGTGTACTTATTATTTCAGTTTCTGGCTACGATGGATAATGTTGTTATGAACATACTAGTACAAATCTCAGGGTGACTAAGCCCTTCTTTTTCCTGAGTAAATGCCCAAGAATAGAATGCCAGGGTCAAGGGAAGAATATTTTACCCTTAATGGGCATTGGCAAATAATTTCACAAAGTTGTCATTCTTAAAGTATGATGCCATTTTTATAAAGCTCGAACACAGGAAAAATCAAATCTATAGCATTAGAAGTTAAGCTAGTAACTACACTTTGGGCGGGGCGGGGGGCGTTGGGAGTGGGGTTTTGTGGGGTGCTGGCATTTCTGTTTTGTGGGGTTTTTTTATTTTGTTTTTTTTTTTTTTTTTTGAGACAGGGTTTCTCTGTGTAGCTTTGGAGCCTTTCCTGGAACTCACTCTGTAGCCCAGACTGGCCTCGAACTCACAGAGATCCACCTGCCTCTGCCTCCCGAGTGCTGGGATTAAAGGTGTGCGCCACGACCGCCTGGCTTGGCATTTCTGTTTCTTGATTTGATGTGAATTACATGAATTTGGAATTTGGAAATGCCATTGAGCTAACACACTTACCATGTGATTATGTTAGATTTGAATTTCAGGTTTATTTCTGAGGTCCAAGGGCTTTGGACCACTGGGGATTGAGCCAGCTAGCCTCTCTGGGCATTCTTCCACACAGCCCCTTGGAAGGACATGTGAGCAGACAAAGACTCCCAAGTCACACGTTCCCAAACCCGCTGCCCCCACCACTCTTTGGTCACCCCTGATAGCCTGGATATCTTGCTGCACCAGGTTTCTCCTCTCCATGTCCTGCCTCTGGATTGAAGCTGGTTTCCTGCCCTTCTACTCAGCAAAAATGTAGAAGAAACAAGTGTCACCAGCTGTATGTCAAACCTGTGGTGGTCTTAGGAGTGAAGATCCCATCACAGGAGCTGTGAGGAGCAGGAACGGACACCGATGACTTCGGTAGACAGTATGAGGCAAGCGTCTGTGAGTTACACACCCTGGCCACATACCCACAGATGGTGTCTGAGACACTAGAATTTAATCATTGAATTCTCTGAATTCTAGCCTAGACATTTTGGTTGCAAGAAGAAAACTGACTCCAGTTGTATTTTGGAATCGAAGTTTATTGGAGGGAAATGCTACACAGGCTCCCGGAGAAAGTGTGGTATTCAGGCACAAAAAGAAACGGGGCCTGAGGAGGATCAGAAGTTCAAGGTCATCCACTCTTGAGATGAAGTCAGCTTGAGCTCCAGGAGACCTTGTCTGGGGTGGGGGAGGAAGGAAAGAAGAGAAGGGAGGAAATGGGCCTAGAACAAGCAAGAGCACCACCTTGGCCACACAGGCCCCCCTTTCTGCCTCATCCCCAACCTTCTAGCTCCTCCCCAACCCCACTGCTCTCCAGGCTCTCAGCTCTAGGCCCTTTGTTTCTTTTACCATCTACTACCAGGCTACAGCAGGAGTCCCCAACCACTGTAGGCCTGGTTCCCTTCTATCCCTGACCTCCCAGGAGCACTGCATTCCTTCTTGGTGATACTCATTTGTTTTAACAGACACTGGAGCATAGGTGTTCAGGAAATGTACAGCTGTTCACTTTGCTGTGTAGAGGGATGTACCCAGAGCAGGAACGCCCAGAGCAAGGATGCTTGTTCACGCTTGGACAGGTAACACCCCTCCCTGTCTGTTCTTCGCTCTTGAAAGAGCTGGTACAGCTGTTGGGGTGGGAGGGAGTGGGATGAGTTACTTCTTCTGCCAGGTGTCGGACCCTGTACAAAGATGTCTGCCTGGCATGCCCTTGCCCTACTGAGTGTGGTGGTTTGACTGAGAATGGCCCCCATAAGCCCATATGTCTGAATGCTTTGTCCCTAGTAGATGAACTGTTTGGGAAGGGTTAGGAGGTGTGGCCTTGTTGGAATAGGTGTGTCTCTGGGGGTGGGCTCTGAGGTTTCAGCAGTCCATACCAGGCCTAGTCTCTCCCTCCCTCCCTCTCTCTCCCTCCCTCTCTCTCTCTCTCTCTCTCCCTCTCTCCCTCCCTCCCTCCCTCTCTCTCCCTCTCTCCCTCCCTCCCTCCCTCTCTCTCTCTATCTCTCTCTCTCCCTCCCTCCCTCTCTCTCTCTCCCTCCCTCCCTCCCTCCCTCTCTCACTCTCTCCCTCCCCCCCCCCCCCCCCCCCCCCCCCCGCACCTGCTGCCTGGGATATAAAACTCTCAGGTACTGCTCCGGCGCCACGACTGTCTGCTTCCCACCATGATGATCGTGAACTAACCCTCTAAAATTGTAAGCTAAATATTTTCTTTTATAAGAGTTATCTTGGTCATGGTGTCTCGTTACAGCAAAAGAATAGTAACTAAGATAAGACACCTAGGGGCCACCAAACCTTGGTTTCCTCAGTTTTATCATATAAGAGGGATTTCTCCTTCCAGGAAACTCAGAACCAGAATGGCCAGGGAAACTGAGTCAGAGCCTGGCTTACTAATGGCACTCTCTCCAACGTCAGATGTCCTAGGGCTGAGTCCATGGTTGGGATCTTTCAGAAATACAGGTTCTAAATGTAGTCAAGACTCAGAATAAAAAGTACATTTCCCAGTCTCCCTTGCAGCACAGTGTGTCTGTGTGACCAGATTCTAGCTGATGAGAAGTGGGTGGAGTTGACAACGCTTTCCGATTCTACGGACCATGGGAATGGGTGTGTCCTTGACCCATTCTTCCTTCACTGTAGGACCAAGCTCACTGCAGTCACCTGAGCTTCGTAACCAAAGGCAACATGTGGGGGATGGAGAAAAGCCCAAGAGAGAAGGATCCTGAGCTCCAATATCTTATACCACCATAGCATAACCAGTATAGGAGAGAAAAATAAAACTCTGTCACGCCGAGGTCACTGTGTTCAGTCTCTGTTAAAACAGCCTGACTTATATTCCGTCTGGTACAGAGTATCTTAGCAAGTCTGCAAGGACCCAGATGCTGTTCTGACCTATCAAGAAGGTCCAAGGTGGCCTTTGAAGAGAAAGAGGCAAAGCTTCACAGAGAGAAGTGGGCAACCTGACTGACTCAGTCTCAGAGCCCTGGCGGCAGCTGGTTGACCTCCATTCCACCTCTCTCCATCCGTTCTTCTTAGGAGCAAGAGGCTTGGGATGCAGGTCACGGAAAATCAGATGCTGCCGTGCTGCTTGTACAGAGGTAGGCAGGACCTTGTTCACAACACCTGACTTGTCTGACAGTGGCAACCTCCTCCTCCTCCTCCTCCTCCTGAGGGCAGGTGAGTCATCCGTCAGCTCAGGGGTGTGGCATCAGATGGCGTTCCATGTGTGGCTGCATCCAGAGCTAGGAGCTTCCCATAAAGAAACCGTGGGTCAAGGAAGGTCCCACACTGACTGGGGTCCTAGGAAGAGGTCATCTACAGAAGAGGGATACACTGAGGGAAGGGAAGTGGCCTTCCTCTCCTGCCTAGTGACAGGCAGGCTCAGACTTGAGGAGGAAAGACTTCAAAATGGAGGGAGAGGGATCAGAAACTATGTCTTGATAAAGCTACCTGTGCCTCCGAGTCATGTGCACAGCAAACACATAGCTACTCTGAGCCTCAGTCAGAAAGGCTCCCCCTGTTCCCCAAGGAAACCCGGGTTCCTGTCCTCCTCTCCAGCTACCCCAGGGCCGGTGCTGTCCTCTAGATGGGAACGTTGTCTAGATGCCAGATGGACACGGTTACACCCCCACACGCCCACATATGTTGACTGGATACCTGCATAGTGTCTTTGTGAGTGGCCATCTCTGCTGAATTCTCGTTCACACTCATCTTATGAGAATGCCTCTTTCTGCATGGGCAAGAGCAGACTCAGTAAGAGTCCCCTCCCTGCAGCTCCCCAGACTCCCCCACTGCAGAGCAGGACAGCCCTGCACAACAGGGGCACCTTTCTTTCTTCAGGGCTCCCCAGCTCTTCTTCAGCACAGAGCAGACCCAAGCAAAGGAAAGCTACTGCAAGATAAACTGCAGAGGTGATTTGGGAGGGGATCCCCAAATTTGGAGAGGGCAGGGTAGGAAATTTGAGGGTCATGAGCTCTGTAGGGGAGAATTTCCCTCTAAAGATTTGGGGGACAATGGGGGGAACGAGGCGAGCAGCATGAAGTATCCCCATCCCCCACCCAGTTCCGGACCCACCTCCAGGTGTGCCAGGCTCCCAGGCCCAGCAGCAGGCCCAGGAAGGCCGCCAGAAGTCCCAGTACCCAGAGCAGCCGCTGGAACAGTTGTAGCCGGTGCAGGGCTGCAACATGAAGAAGAGGCTGAGGGAGGTCTCTGGGCTTCAGGGCCCCGCCACTCCCCCCTGAGGTGACCCAACCACGGCAGAACTGATTTTAACTTTCACTTCATCTCCAGGCCCTGTGCAAGGGAGCCCCAAGCAATCCGTTTGGACTAGACAGACCAGCTGTCTGGTGCAGAAGGGATCTGAGTAGGACCTGAGACTCTTGGTGCAGAGTGATTCCAGTGGCTGGGAGAACCATTCTCCTCACCTCTGGTCCCAAAGTAGGCCGAGGCTGAGGCAGAGCCCAGGACGTTGGAGGCTGTGCACACGTACTCCCCCTGATGGCTGGGTCCAAGTTCCTCTACGTCCAGTCTCAAGGCGTTAGGAGAGGCAGAGACGTGAACGTGGGGCTGGGTGGGAACACCCTGGGGTTTGTTGGAGGCTACTAGTTGACTGCCCAGGTGGAGGGTGAGGCTGGCCAGGGGCTCACTGTCCACTCGACAGTCGAGGATGCCGTGGAGGCCGCCCTGAGGCTCCACAAACACAGTCAGAGCGGGCTTCTGGGGAGGATCTGTGGGGAGGAAGTGTGTGGTGACTAGAAATCCACTACAAATCCCTCCCTCGGCTGTGACTTGCTGTACAGCCGTGAAGTAGTGGGGCTCATTTCCTCACTCCTGAGGCAAAAGTGACATTATGGGGGATGGGAAGGTGCCTTAGTCGGTAAAGTGGTTGCTGCATAAACATGCGGATGATCTGTGTTTGAGCCCCAGCACTCATGGAAAAGGCTAGAATCCTAGCACTGTGGTATCAGAGCCAGGAGGATCCCTGGAGCTCTGTGGACAGCCAAGCTTGCTGAATTGGTTCAGTGAGAGACCCTGTCTCTAAAGATGGGGTGGAGAGTGATAGAGACAGTGAAGTGGCCTCCACGTGCACAAACAGGCACATGTGTATACACACGTCACACACATGTACACAGAATATGCGGACACATTTCTAAAGTGGCATTGTGGGGCTTTGGGACTGGATCTCAAGACACCTTGCAGCTTCTCTTCTACTTCCTGAAACAACCATGTGGAAAGCCCAGGCCAGCCTGCTGGCCACCTATGGCCCATCTTCAGTCACCAGGTGAGGCCATCTCAGACTGCTCAATTTCAGCAGAGCCTCTGCAGCCAGGAGACAAGAACTGCCCAGCTGAGCCCTCACCAAATTTCTAACCCATAGAATTGTGAATTTGGGATAACTTGTTACTAAGCAGCAGCTGATTGATACAGCTTGGGCGTAGATGAAGAATGGAGTGGGAAAGCCATGGCTAATGATGGCCTACTGTGCACCAGGTACTTAGCTGCTCTATCTTCTCTATTCATCCCAAGAGGGCAGGATGAATGTGTCCTCCATTTCAAAGGTAGAGAATGAATGCATCAATACACAACCACATACAGCCAGCCAGTGGGGGTGCTAGTATTCCAAAACCCCATACCTATGAAGCGCTTACTCTGCGCAGAGGACAAGACCTGATACAGACCGACGAGATGTAGAGAGACAAGGCAGAGGTGGGTTCATACTTACAGAGGACACGGAGCAAGACGGGAGCGGAGGTGGTGACCCCAGTTGGGAGGTCAGCCCTGCAGTGGTACAGCCCAGCCTGAGACCGGGTCACATGGGTGAAGGAGAGTGTGGGCCCAGGAGCTGTATGTAGTAGATGGCGGTTCCAGAACCATGTGAAGGTGGAGTTGCCTGTGGGCTTGGAGCCACCAGGGAGGTGGCAGCTTAGGTTCAGGGCTCTGCCCTCTGGCACATCCAAGCCTGGCTCAGCTGCCACATGTGTATCTGTGGTACACGGGCAGGTAAATGGTCAGGGATCTGTGCATTGTGGGGTGATCTCAATCTATCTTGGGCTCAAGGCCCTCCACAGTGGAGTTATGTCTCTCCTTAGACTGATCATAAAAAAAACAGCATGATCACATCTGTGTTCTGAGGTTCCCATGGCAGGGCTGTGCCTCCGGCATTAGAGGTCATCTGAAGGGTGAGGCTGCATCTTGCCCTCAGACCGGGATTCCCAACGGTGGGCCTCTGTCTTGCTCCCACCCCAGGCTTCAACAGTGAAGGGTGTGTGAGGCCAGGATTTGTCTCTTCCTACTCCATTTTTACTTCGATGGTAGGACTGGATCATCCCCTTGGGAGAGCCTACCCCTTCATGAAGCCATGCCTCCCCAGCGGACTTGGCTTCTCAGGGAGGGAGTAGTTCATATTCCTTCAGGACAGCAGGCCCTCACATGGGATCCAGCCCCACAACACAAGAATCCCAAACTGTAACCCCCCCTCCTCACCCCTGTCCCACTCACCAGTCTCCCTCGGGAGCTTCTGGGTGGTACTGATGGAGCCCAGTGCATTTCGGGCTGTACAGACATAGGCATCATCATCGCCCCCAGCCACGCCTTGCACCTGCAGTCGAAGAGCGTTTCGGGCTACCTGGACGTGGCCTATCCCCGATGGAGAGCTGCGAAGCTCCTGGCTGGCAGCTAGCACCTGGCCATTGTGGGATAGGACCAGCTCAGCAGGGGGTTCGCTGTCCACAGTGCACTGTATCACGACCGTGAGCCTGGTCCTTGAGTCTCGAAAGGAAGACAGGGCAGCATCCCGGGGGGCATCTAGAGGTAGGCCAGAACACAGATGGGGGCCCTGCCGAGGCATGCAAGGCTCACTGCCCATCTGCCCAATGTTGGTGAGGCTAAGTTTCCAGACGAATGTCCCCTTCCTAAAAATTATGCCTTATCAAGAGCCTGTGGCCATAATGTCCATTGTCATCACTAATGCCCTCTTTTCCCCAAGCTCCCATTTCTAGGCCTTCTGTAGTGCCATGGCCACCCTAACCAAGTGCACCCTCTGCCACCCTCACCCTGGAAAGCCACAGCTAAGGAGCCCCTGCTCACAGTGAACTTGCAGGGTGGCAGGTCGGGAGCTGCGTGTGCCCTGAGTATCGTGCACCTGGCAGAAGTAGGCGCCGGCATGAGCCCGTGTAGTCACCAGAAACTGGAGTGAGGAAGCCGGCCCCTCCTGAAGCCAATGGCCATTGTGAAACCAGGCATAGAGGGTGGGTGGGAGGGCAGCAGGGTCCTCGCAGGTCACTGTGACAGGCTGCCCCTCGGCCACCGTAGCAGAGGGATCCATCGTCACTCGTACACCTGAACCAAGGAGTCCAGGGTCAGCGTGGCGCAGCTAGACATTCCAGGCAGTTCTCTCCCCCGCAACCTTGGTCTAGCCCTATTTCACCTTCCAGCCGAAGCTCCAGGGATGTGTTGGCCTTGCCCAATGAGCTGTGGGCAGAACAGCTATAGAGACCCTCATCGCTAGGCCTTGGGTCCCGAAGCTCCAGGCGCAGGGTGTTGGGGACAGAGGCTTCAGTTGAAGAGGCTAGAAGGTGGCCGCCACGGCTGAGAGCTAGCTGGGCAGGTGGGCGACTATCCACAGTACATAATACCAGGGCCAGCTGTCTGCCCTGGGTCTCCAGGAGGTAGGTCAGCCGCAGGCTTCGGGGAGCATCTGTAGAGATCCAGGAAGCATTCACAGAGTTCAGAAGCAGACTTGAGAAGGCCAGCTTGCAGGAGAGTTCCCTACTGTCCAGTCAGGATCTCTGCTCTTCTGCCTAGAAAGGCAGAGGACCTGTCCCCATCCCCCCCCCCAACCTTTTTTTTTTTTTTTTTTTGATTTTTCGAGACAGGGTCTCTCTGTAGTTTTGGTGCCTGTCCTGGATCTCGCTCTGTAGACCAGGCTGGCCTCGAACTCACAGAGATCTGCCTGGCTCTGCCTCCCGAGTGCTGGAATTAAAGGCGTGCGCCACCACCGCCCGGCCTCCCCTCAACTCCGAAGATTCCCTTGTCCAGTGCTCCACAGCGGGCTAGTAGTTGAGTTCTTAGGCTGCACACTAGGAGGCTCTCCCACACCCTGTGAGCTTCTGTCACTCACTGCTCACACCCAGCCAGACTCACAGAGGACATCCAGGGTGACAGGTCTGGAGAGATGAGGTGCCTGGCCAGGGAGCCCCACACCACAGCGGTAGGAAGTAGCGTCTACGACTGTGACATTGGTCAGAGAGATGGACCGGGCACCAGGGAGCTGTTGCCCACCCTTGTACCATGTGTAGCTGAGTGGGGCCTGCTTGGTGGTCCATACCAAGCAGGTCAGGTTCACCCACTGCCCCTCCTGCACAGTGGTATTGGGCCACGCCATCACACGCACAGCTGGAGAAAGGAGGAAGTCACAAGTGAGGGTCTTAGAGCTGTGTCTCCACACAGGTCTGTCAGCTCTGCTACTGAGACACTCCAAGCTCCCCAGGAACACTCTTGCTAAAGGAGTTCATAGGCTGAACCTGGGGGTTCTGAGTAGAGTTCTTCAAAGCCCAGCTAAGGCAAATGGATGAAAAGGGCTCCCTGAACAGCTGTGGTGTCTCTTGAGATGCCTTTTCTGGTTAGTTTTATGCACTGGACACCCCGTTTTTAAACAAGGCCTTTCTTGTACCCCAAGTCCAGAAACCACACCCCCAATTAGCTTGTGGGGCTTGTGCTTCTGCTCCTAGGCTTCTAGAACCTACTGCATCTCCTCTGCTCTTCCACACTGACCCTGGGCATCGAAGTTGGCTGTAGCAGAGGCCTGGCCCAGTGTGTTGGTGGCCTCACAGGTATAGGTGCCATCATCCTCCAGTCCTACAGAGTGGATCTCCAGGTGCAGTTCATTGGTGCTCACAGTCACATGCAGCCGGGGATCACTGCTCGCCAGTTCCTCTGGGCCTTGTAGGGTAGAGGCCACGAGGCGGTTCCGGTGCAGGAGTCGCAGCTGAGCGGGAGGGTCACTGCGTACACTGCACACCAGGAGGCCGAGTCGTGCGGGGCCTGTGCTCAGCAGGGCACTGAGTGTGGGCTGGCGTGGGGTGTCTACATCAGATGAGGAGGGTCAGGAGGATGTGACTAGGGTGTCCCTCATACAAGGTCTGTTGTGGAACACCTCCCTTCCCCCTCATGAGTGAGAACCAGCCTTACAGGATACATGGAGGCTGACAGGGGCAGCCAGGCTGGCAGTAGCTGTGTCTGGAGCCTGAGCTTGGCAGTGGTAGGCGCCAGCTTGCCTCAGACTTATGGCTGCAATGCGGAGTGTGGATGAGGTTGACGCCTGGAGGGGCCGGCCATCCTGATACCACTGGTATGAGGTCCCCTTGGGGACCTCTGTGGGCACCTGGCAGCTCAGGACCACAGCCTGGCCCTCCTGGAGCTCAGGTGATGGGGAAACCTGGACCCAGGCTCCTGTGAGGAGAAAACAGGGTAGATGAGGACTTGCAGCCATCCCTCCCATTGTCTGTGCTGTTTATGTCTCCAGAAGTGGAGAGGCCCAGTCCCGCGTCTGTAGCTGACCAGGGCTCCCTCACTTCTGTGTCTTTGTCTTCCTGCTCCTTTCTTCCCTGAATCCGCCTTGTCCTGACCCTTCTCACCACCTGGCGTGTGGATCTCTGCTTTGGTTTGCCTTTTGGTTTGGTATGAGTTGGTTGGTCTGTTGGTTGTTGGTTTGGGTTTTTTTTTTTTTTTTTTTTTTTTTGAGAGTTTTACTCTGTAGCTCAGGTTGGCCTGGAACTCAGTAGGTAGCCCAGGATGGCCTGGAATTTATGATGATCTCTTGCTTCAGCCTCTTGAGGGTTGGGATTAACAGTATGCAGCACTTGAAGTTTGGGTTTTGTTCTGTGGCAGATGAGCCTTAGCAGAATGGAGCTTATATGTCCACAACCAGTAGCTGGCACACCACCTCCATGTGTTAGCCCTAAGAAAGGATGGTTTGGCCACACAAGCACAGCCAGAAGGGGGCTGGTCATGCTGAGGGTCACCGAACCGACTCTAAACTGAACTCAGCATGGGTAGCCTAGGGTCTGAAGGTTGACAACAGCTGTTTTGTCCCAGCCTTCTCTGGCCAAGTCCTTCACCCACGATGTAGGTCATGACAGCCCAGAGAGTGGAGCGTGGGCACAGAGGAATCAGGGGTCAGGCAGTGTGTGTGTGTGTGTGTGTGTGTGTGTGTGTGTGTGTGTGTGTGGTCGATCAGAGCAATGAAAAAAGCCAAGACCAGAACTAAACTAGCCACAGTCACCAAGGCTGCTGTTCCTGTTCCTTCAAGAGGCTCCCATGACCCCTCAGTCTCTCTGCTTAAGAAATGGACGTAATAAGCTAGAAAAGACAGACAGAACCAAAGCAAACGTCCCAAATTGTGACTGCTTGACATTCTGAGAGAAGTATGTATGTCTCTTTGGCCCTGGCCTTATGGATACTATCTTTCCTTTTTTCTGGTGTATTTGCCTACATAGACTTTTTGTGTTGTTTTGTTGAGACATATGTACCCCAGGCTGACTTTGAACTTGCTATCTCCTTGCTTCTGCCTCCTGAAATGCCTGGCTTACAGGTGTGTGCCACCATGGATGCCTGCTCTGGGAGACTTTCTACGGAGGATATATGTGCATATATGTATACATATAAGTAATATATGAATATATTATACATATATGAATATATGCATATGTCTCTATACATCTATGAATAAAGAAGATGAATATATTATTTGTGAGAATATGTATATATATATACACATGTATAACTTGCATGCACTGGATTTTATATGAGAATGTTTAAATGAAACACAATTACCTTACAAAGTAAGTTATGTTAGAAAATTCCCTAACCAGCTGGGCATGGTAGCTCACATCTGTAATCTTAGCACTAAGGAAGCTGAGGCAGGAGTCTGAGGCTGGCGTGGATACATAGTGAGTTCAGAGACTCCCTGTCTCAAAAGATCAGGAGGGGAGAGAGGGAGGGCAGGCTCCAGCCGAAGCAAGCCACCTGCTCGGTTACCTCTGCTTCCTTCTGGGCAGTTAGTGCAGGTGGAAGTCCAGGCAGAGCTGGGAAGGCTGCAAACTGCACACCGAAGTGTCTGCATGGACCTCACAGCAGTGTCTGACCCGAGCAGCTCTAGCTCTCAGGGTCCAGCCTAGTGTCAGGGGGCTGACACTTACCTCTGACCTGGAAGAAGAGGGAGCTGTTGGCTGATCCGAGAACATTCGTGGCCTCGCAGAGGTAGCTTCCAGAGTCCTCAAGACCTAGTTCTCGAACCTCTAACTGGAGGGAGTTGGTTGTGGCCTTGGCCTGGATCCTGCCATGGGATGGACGCTGCGGTTCCAAGTTGGTGGCCAGGAGATGCTCCCCACGGAAGAGAGACAGGTGAGCCAGGGGATGGCTGTCTACAGTGCAGATGAACACAGCCATGTGGCCCTGACCCACATCCAGGAGGGCTGACAGCTTGGGAGGGTCTGGGGCATCTGCATGAACCAGAGTAGGGGTAGTTACTCAGGCTACTCTAGCCAGTCTCACTACATTCTACCTGTCACCGTGTATCCTCTCCATAGGCCCATCTGGTCATTCTAGGCTGGCATGTATCTCCCCAGGTCCCCAACCCCAACCCTGTGGCCCCCAGGTCCCTCCACCCCCAGGTCCCTCCACCCCCAGGTCCCTCCACCCTTCAGGTCCCCCTGCCTCCTAGGCTCCTCTACCCTCCTGGCCCATTACACACACACCCCGACCCCTCTGCCCTCCAAGCTGTGATGCCCTTAACCATCACCCACACAGCACACTTAGGACCACAGGAGCCGAGAGCTGAGCCCCATCCTCAGTGAGGAGGCGGCAGGCATAGATGGCAGCATCAGTCCTGGCCACGGGCTGCAGCCTTATAGTCTCCAGTGGTCCCTCGGTCCACGGCACTCCATTCCGGAACCAAGAGAAGTTGGCGGGGCTGTCAGCAACTTCCTGGCTCACGTTGCAAGTTAAGTTGGCCTCTGTGCCCTCATGCAGTGTGTCCGACGGCGTGATGACCAGGACAGTGGCTGAAGGATAAGCAGCAGGGGCTCACTGGTCACAGGCCTCTCTCTGGTGAGCCTCCCTTAAAGCCCACCCTGGCCCTGGCTTGGGTTTCCAACTTTGAGCAGGGAAGGATGGAGAGGAAAGCCAATAAGACGTGGGGGTGTAGAGGGGCATGGAAAAGGCATGGAGGGATAGGCAGCCCCTCTGTGCTTTCTCAGAGGTGAGCCTTGAAGTCCCAGGATGGTCCCCCTCCCTTGATGTGGAGGGAGGGACACTGAAGGTCCCTCTGCTTCCTCCCACTGTGGATAGACGTTGTTTTGCCTGGTCAATTTGCTCAGTGCAGGGGTAGTCTGAGCTCAGGGTATAGCTCCCTCAGTCCTTCTCTACTCCTTACCCTTAGCATTGAAGGTGGCTGAGGCAGAGGAGTTGCCCAGTGTGTTGCTAGCCTCACACAGGTACATGCCCTCGTCCTCTAACACTGGGTTCTGGATCTCGACACTCAGTGAGTTGGAGGCTCTGCTGATCTTTGTGCGTGAGAAGCAGCTCCCACACCTTGATGGCAGAGAAGTGGCCACAACATGGCCCTTGTGGAGAAGCTGTAGCTGGGCTGGGGGATCGCTGTCTACATGGCATGAGAGGAGGCCACGCCGTCCAGTCCCAACACCGGAGGTATCCAAATCCAGTCTGGCCGTGAATGTGGGCTTTCTTGGGGGGTCTGTGGAGAGGAAGAGCATTAGGCACTCATTTCATGGTTACTGCTAGAGCCCAATGTCCACTTCAGCCCAGCTAGGCTCCAAGAAGCACACCGAGCAGCCACGAACAGCCGTGTGGGGTGGCCACAGCACAAGGGTACCCAGACGACATTGGCATTCATCTGGGCTCCACATCTCAAACTGTGACCTGCTGCTGAACTGAGTCTTCCCAGAAGGGGTGACATTTTCCAGCTGGGATCAAGGTATTATATTATCAGCCACCTTGCGTGTCCCATCTGAAGCAGAACACCCTCAGAGCAGTCCCCAAGACTGCCGCTAATACACCCACCCCGTCACTGAGCAATGCCTCCAAGTTCATTCCCCCTTTATTTGTTCCCCAACCCAGATCCTGACATACTAGATATCAGTCGAAATGGCCTCTCTAGCTTTGTTGCTGTTTTGGCGGTTTTGATGGTGAATAAATACTGTCAACTTGAAGGCTCAAGAATCATCTAGAAGATGAACCTATGGGCATGTCTGTGGAGTTTCTAGGTTGAATTAATTGATGTGTGATGATCCACCCTAAAGGTGGGTGGCATCATTCCATGGGCCAGGGTCCCAGACGGAATAAAAAGGAGCTGAGCATCAGCCTTCGTCTCTCTAGTTCCTGACTGCAGACCAGCTGCCCTCCTCCGCCTTGATGGGCTGCACTCCAAGTTGAGAGCCAGAACAAGCCCACACTTCCTCATGTTGTTTTTGTACAGCAACAGGAGGAGTCGCTAAATGGTTCTAGAGTTGAACACAGAGTCTTGTACATGCTAGGCAAGTGCTTAAAAAAATGATTCCATTCTAGAGATTTCTCAAAGCACGTGGCCAAAAGACAGCTAGCAGACCAGGTTCCACATAATCCCACTCAGGCACTAGAAAACCCTTGAACATACTTGCTAGGGGAGGTCCTCAAGTAAGACCCTTGTATCATCAGCCCCTAGGACTCATATAAGCATCACCCTTGGGGGACACAGAGGGGCCATTCAGCCTGTGGGGCGCATGCACATCTTTTGAGTTGTGATATTTTAGGACAGGGCAAGCTGGGATGTAGAGCCATGGTACAACGTAGGAGCAAAGGCTGGGTCTGGAGAGCAGGACATAGGGAGCTATAAAGGAGATCTACCTCCTTCCCCCAGCTTCCACCCTAGGTTGATACGTCCATTGTGGCAAGGCCTATGACCACTCTCTGTTGTGAACCCCAGGGTCAGGAGGATATGGAAGGGGGTGGCTAGTGGTCCCAGTGGGATGATCCCACACAGTGGGCAGTGGCCAGTAGCCAGGTCAACTCACAGAACACAGTGAGGACAGTAGGCAGGGAGGGGCCGCTGGTGCTGGGGCCAGTCTGCACTCTACAGTAGTATGAGCCAGCATCAGTTCTGGAGGCTACAGGAAGCAGGAGGCTGCTGCTGGATCCCTCGAGAAGTAGTGCTCCATTCAGGTACCAGGAGAAGCGAGTGTCCGATGCTGGGCTCAGGCCACTCCTGCAGCTCAGAGTCACTGCCTGCCCTTCCACAACCTGTGCTGAAGGGCTGATGAGGAGTCGGGCCACTGGAGGAGGGACAGAGAACAGGCTTGATTGGCTGTGAGGGCCCTGGCCCCCTGTGCCCCCTGCTGCAAGAAGCCCCCCTCGATTTCTCCTCTGTTCACATGCCTATTTGGGCTTTGTGGCCTTGACTAGCAATTCAGATGTACTGAAGCCCAGATTACATCAAGCCAGGCTTATGTTACCTGGCTTGAGGGCTGGGGACAGAGCCCAGTTGATAGAGTACCTGCCTAGCATGCCTGAAGGCCAGGGCTTAGTCCCCAGCACTGCATGACTAGACGGAGAAAAACAACAACAAAAATCTGGCATGATGGATTAGCTGTGCCTACCAGGGCCTCGGAAGGAAGAGCAGTATGTGCTCCTGTTTCTCTGTCTCCCGCATCTAATGCCCAGCAAAGACCCTGCCCCCAAAACTTAAGAAATACAAAATAAATGGATGCCTATAAAGGACCCTCCAAGTCCAGAACCAGAGATGCAGGAGAGAAATAATTTGATCCACTACATTTCCCGTTTTGCCTTTTCTTCCAGAAATCTCTAAGGCTGGAGTGACTGTATTACTCAGGTCTTCCATGAGGCCTAGCCAGAGTTTGGTCCCTCAGTTGAGTCCTTAGGACTGCTAGGAAAAAAGAGGCCTCCACTGGTGGCGCCCTGCAGTGCATGCTCGCCCACATTACCATTAGCATGGAAGTCCAGGCTGGAAGTTGAGTTTCCAAGGGAGTTGGTGGCTGAACATGTGTACTCCCCGCTGTCAGCGGGCTGCAAGTCTCGGATCTCTAGGCTCAGGGAGTTGGGGGTCGAGGAAATGCTGAAGCGAGGGTTGAAGTCATTTTCTCCAGAGCTGGAGGCCAGCGTGAGACCTCCGTGAGACAGCACCAGTGTGGCCAGGGGCTCACTGACCACAGAGCAATGGAAGATGCCCATGAACCCAGCCTGTGTCTCCAGGAAGGTAGTCAGGACTGGAGCAAGGGGTGGGTCTGTGTGGGAACCAGAGGTGGCTGGTCATCCTCAGACAGGTCACTTCCTGGATCCCCTGTTGTAGCCTATGCGTTCCCTTTGCCCCACAGAGCCCTGGAACAGAGTGATCTCAGACCTTCTTGAGTACATGCTAAATATACTTTACCCTCAGGATGGGCAAATCTCTCTGTTAGCCAGGCTAGCCCTCGTGCCCACACTGCAAACGGAGGACAGGGTCCCAAATTAGGTTCTCACTTTGTAACCAAGTTGGCCTCAAACTGGTGATCCTTCTGCCTCAGCCACCCCGGTGATAGATTACAGCGCTGTACTACCATGCCTGACCAGTGCCTCATTTTAAAGATGAGAAAACCGGAACAGTCCAGACAGAGGGCAGCACTTTTGTCAAGTGATCAAAGGGACCATTAGCAGTACAGGGAAAACTGACCCCGAGTCTCCTAATGAGATGCTCCAAGGCAGACACAGAGTCACACCTGTGGCCTTCCCCGTCGAGTACCTCTCGGGCAATTGCAAACTGAGGGGTAGCCTCCAAGAAGGACAGGGGAAGATCAAGGACTGCCCATAAAGTCTGGAATCAGCATCACATTTCCTGGTGTGATCCTTGTGTGAGAGTTACGTACAAGGTAATCTTGGGAGACGAGCACTGGCAAGGTGAGGTGTGAACAGACCCTACGCACGCAACTCCAGGCACATACATACCGATGATGGCTCCACTCAGGATTTTTCTCCTTTATGGTGGGGTGAAAGTCTGTATAAACTGTACTTTGGGATGCTGGTCTTTGCCTAGGCTAGCAAGTTACAGTATGACCCTCTCTCATGCTACTGAATGGTCAGCCATATACGGGACCAAGCCTAGGAGAGCCACGGGCACGCTGGTGTATTGTGCTATCAGTAGGCTTTGGATGCAGGCATTCAGCGACGTCACAGACTAGCTGGCACTTAAATGTGAAGTACGCACCTGTTAGCTAGCTTGACCCGAATGTAGCTAACATGAGTCTGATGCATGCATGTTTAAGGCTGACTGAACCAGACTCCCGCATTCAGTACCTGGATGTAGCAGATGCCTTTTCAACTTTGATTTTTTTTTTTCTTTTTTGTGACAGGATCTCACTATGTAGCCCTGGCTAGCCCAGAACTCACAGTTATCCACTAGTCTCTGCATCCTGAGTTCTGGGGCTAAAGGTGTGAGAAAAGTTCTTTGTGGTATAGCTCCATCATAATTCTAAATGCATCTGTAGGAAGGTATGTTAGTAACATGTGCATGTGTACAGATGTCTACAGAATGAGTGATGATATATATGTATATGTACACGTGTGCACATGTATGTGTGTGGAATAAACAATACAACCCAGGTGCACATTCAGAGACAAGATACAGTGCCTGCAACATGATGTCAACAGGCAGAGAATCTAGACTAAAAGTATATGTTGAATGTTTCCTACAACTTTTCATAGGGTTGAACTTTTTTCTAAGTAAAACACTTGTAAACATAGGAGGAGACTGAGTCTGGGAAGGTCAACCTTGTGTAGGGGTGCAGAGCTGGGCATGCATTCAACCCCATTTGGCTGCGTAGTCCACATCTGGGTCAAGGGTCTTGAAGATGCTATGCCAGGGACCCCAACTTCTTGCAGGGACTCCACCCACCCTTTGGACTTCCTCTGGTGACATCTGCTGCCCCACATACTAGCCACTTACGTCTGACCACCACACTCACTGAGCCGGAGCGCTCACGGCCCTGGGTGTTCTGCACCTCACAGAAATAGAAGCCGGTATTGGCCCTGGTGACTGCAGGCAGGTGCAAGGTGGGGGAGTGGACATCTTCCAGAAGAATGTGGTTCTTGTACCAGCTGTAGTGGAGCTCCCGGGGTGCCTCCTTGGGGGTGCTGCAGAACAGTGTCACTGTGTTGTTTTCCAAAATGGGCCCTGCTGGGCTCATCTTGACCTCAGCCACTGCAAGAACATCATAGGACACACCCTTAGAGTTCTGGATAACAGTCAGCTTCAGTCTCTACATGTTATACTGAGCCCCATCCCCACCCCATATAGCAGGAGCCTCCTGGAGTCACCCCGAGTCTCTTTATCCCACTTCCCAGGGCCCTCCTGACTTGCCCCCTGTGAGAAGGTATTAGCATGGATATGCAAGCCTCTGGTGGTATCGTGCCACCAGGTTCCCTCAGCTCTCTAGTAGATCCAGCCTCATCCAGGACTTACTAAAAACATGGAGGCTGACCGGGGGTGATACCAGAGAGCCCACAGGATTCATTGCTTCACAGGTGTAGACCCCAGAATCATTCCAGGTTGCCGAGGACAGCTGCAGCACACGTCCATTGGCTTCGAGGCTCACTCCGTCCTTGACCCACTGCACAGAACTGACAGCGGGATAGCTGCTGTTCACTTGACAGGTGAGTGTGACCAGATCCCCTGGAAGAATGTTCTTTCCTGAGGAGCTGAGGAGGATCTCCACACCTTTGGGGGCATCTGCAAAGCATGATGGGATGTCAGGTACAGTGCATGAGGGTGGCAGGGTGTTGGCACCCCAGACTCAGTGTCATCTGTCCCCTAATGCAGTCCTACCTCCCTCCTTTTCCAATGAGGCTCTGAAAATGTGGTGTTTGGCCTATGTGTGGCTATCGATGGCTACAGTGTGTGGCTATCAATGGCCCATGTGTTATAACACTGTGTCATAACACTGTCCACATTTTGTTTGGATAAGTTACATTGATACGATCACGAGTGCTCTACTTGCCTTGGTGGCTTCCGGTAGCTTTTGGAAAGGGACTGGCCACTTCATGGCAGGGGACCACAGACAGCAAACATTAGCTCTCAGAAAAATGTATAAGCAAGGGACTAAGAATACTAAGAATCCCCCACCCCCATCATGTGTGCATGAGTGTGTGTGTGTGTGTGTGTGTGTGTGTGTGTGTGTGTGTGTATAGTGGTCACAGATAGAGAGTGCATACATATATACACAT